CACTGTGCCTGAAGCATACTTAGCTTTCTAGGCAGCACAAGCACCACTCTTTTCTCCCCACAAGCACTGGTGAAGAATAATAAAAAGCTGCGTGTTAACTTCTGTTCTCTAATTTTCACGTCAAATTGTCTTTCAGCAGATTCTCCATAAAATGACGTTGAGATCCTTCCTCCCCCAGGGGAAGGCAGACCCTCTGTCACCAGCACATAGCCAAGAGGATACAGGAAAGAGGACACAGGGATGGAGATCTGGATGAAAACAGCTCCTGCAGAAAGAGCTTCCTTAAGGGCCCCTGGGTATGTCACAGGAAGGTTTCCACTCGGGCTGCTGGAATGCAGTGCTGGTTTAACGGGTGCACAGGGAAGCCTCAGGTCCTCCTGCAGGAGTCTGCCTATCCTCACTGCCACAGGTCAATGCAGAGGCTGCCTTCACACACATACACAACTGCTAAAACACAGGCCTCCATAGGTACCTTCCTCCTTTTATCTGTAAATTTAGCATAAACTGCCCTACTTGGCAGGCTGCAAGCTCTCTCCTTAACATAGACATGCTCCTTCCCATGCACATTTTGAAATTTTCAAGGAGAGAAGTTGCAAACCCTTGTGTCTACACGGATTTTCTTCTCCTTGATGAGCTTCCCCCTTCTTGTTTGACACAAAACTTGTTTATTCCTCAGGATCTGATTCACTCTGCAGTGCTAATCACCCCTTTGGACCAGCCCTGTCTGCAAGTACAGAGTCTGTGCTTACAGTGCTACATTTTAAAGGATGTTCTTACACTGCTATTATCTAGTAAGACTTAAAGACTTTCTAGCAAAACAGTCGTATAGGATTTTGCTCCCTTTAGTGGGTTCAACTTGGAGGTTTTCTCATATTCTGTGCCCCAAGAACACACTCTTGGGGGCTTCTTCACTGAGCACATGATTCTGCCTTGCAGAAATGCAAAAGCTGCAGCTCAGCAGAAGAGCTTTACCTCTTCACAAAGCAACAGTTCTTTGATTTTTATTAAATTGGGAAGCTAACCAAGCAAGTAAAGATCAGAAAGACAAAAGCTCTACAACACTGAGCAGAAAGTACAATTGTAGGACACAGCATGAACAAGTGATTTAAAACAATTATTTAGTAGAAAGAGAATGACACCTTCCTCTGAGTCATCAGTGCCTGTTTAAAGTCAGGAGAACGGATCAGGTGGCACCTACTTGTAAAACAGCAAAGCAACAAGTTTTCAAGGCAACCACAGGATCGAACCCCATCTTGAACAGGCCAATATTCTCATTCAAGTGGTGAATTTCAGAGATACTTCGTATTTCAGCATTCTATTTAGCAACAGAATCTGCTCACCTGGGAGTCTCCTTCCTCCTCATGTCCCGACAGCGTGTTCTCTATCTCAGCAGGGGCTGCAAGAGCAGCTCCTCCTAAAATGCAGGATGAGCTCCCCACAACATCATGCCACATCCAGAAATCCTTGCTGCTTCCTCTCTACACAAAGTAATCCCAAACAGAATGGCTAAGGATTTACCACAAAGAAAACATGTATTTCTCAGAAACTGTTGTTTCTAAGGGATATTCACTTTTGATACTGGCTGACATTGAGCACAGCTCATTTTACAAGGCTTCTTCTGCTCCTCTTATGTGATATTTTGTTACAGGGAATTAGCACGTGGAGCAAAGCAGACCTTTATTGTGTTTTGAAATACATAATTTTTAGATGTTTCTCCAACATCCGATTTACTCATTAGCCAGGCTTATTACAACTGATAATTATCCCATCTAGAACAAAATTTCTCAAGATGAAGAGTGCATACACAAACACAAAAAGACTTAGCAACAGTTTTGCAAAACTGCATTATCACATCTGCCAGTAGCTATGAACAAACCCGGAGATTACAGGCTGCTGTGAAAGCCTTAATGATGCTGTTTGAAACCTCAATCCTCACATCCTATTGAACGGATGCATTTAACTTCCTTATCCTGAAGAAGCCGGCCGAAAGCTGCTTTTCTGGGAGAGGAAGCGGGGTGCGAGCCATGGTTTGCAAGCCCCTCAGACGAGACAGGGGCACCCAGCTGGCCACCCGGAGCCAGCACCGCCACGTTTCAAGTGATGCTGGAGATTAAATAAGGCATTAATTTTATAAGCAGTCTTAACGAGGAGGAAGAATTGGGAAGAGGGCTGTTGTGTCACTACTGCTGAGCACTGAAAGGCTGCAGTAGTGGTTGCTCGCACAGCGCAAGCCTTTGCAGCCAAGACATTTTACATCCTCACGTACACAGCAAAGCCATTTAGTTTGCTAATTCCTCTCTAAGGGCTCAATCTGTCATGTAAGTGGTTAACACAAAATTATTAGACAGTAATCTCATGGTTTGCTTTTTGCAGCCACATTTAAACTTTGCATTTAGGTTTTAACTGGATTTGAACACCTTATTTTTAAAGGTACTTTAGCGTCTTCTCTATCTGTGAAATTTTTATCTATGAATTTATTACTTTGCTTGTCAGAAGACACAATAAGCTCAAGAACGGGAGAGGCAACACAGTCCAGGATTAACCACGCAGTAAGTCAGAATCTAAGTGGCTGCTGCAGGAACAGTCAATGGTCACATTCATCAGTCCATGTGTGCAAAGTTGGTTATTAGCAGACTCTGGTCAACTCAAAAGAAATCTCAAATCAATCAAAGTAGTTAGATTGGCAGTGAAGGGTGAAAGCATATCCTTCAGAGCTAAAGGAATTAATTGGAAACAAGTAGTCTCCTGTAATCCTTAAAAGAGGCTATGTGCACTACCAATATTCAACCTGAAAAGAAGCTGTTATTAGCTGAAAAGTTAAAGACGTGAAATGGAAAATGCATCTTAACAATCCAAGGTAGCTTACAGACAGAGAAAAGAGCAAAAAGAATAATCTGCTTTTCTAAGCAAAGTACTGTTAAATTACCTGTCATTCAAGAGGCACTGATTTTTTTTTTGCAGTGTGATTTTTTTCACTGATGTCCTTTTGCCTCTGCTCCTTTACTCTGGTATGACTTGCAAATGACATCCTGCTCATAGATGGGGATACGCAGGTGCAATAGTTGGGGATTATGCAACTAACCAGGTATTTCAAATCATCATTCCTCAATCAAATATACAGTTCCTCAGGAAAGCTGGTAAAAAAGGATCTGTTATTTTGACTGTTTTCCAGGAGTGATTTTGAGCGACATGCTTTGTACCCTTTCTGAAATTCATGGCTACTTCCTCTAGCTGAGGGTATACTAAATGCTAAAATGCTGGCCAGACAGTTCTCCAACAAGCTGAAGAGGTCGTGGGTAGGGGGAGATAGCTCCACTTGCATCTTGTGTTCAATATAACCCTACTGTGCTCCAAAATTACATCCACTTTACCACAGGTCAACTTGTGCCCACTGTTCTATGTCAGGGACAAGCATACACTGTGCTGCTTCGAGCCACTGTTTACCTCTAGATGCGCTGATGGATTCTCACTTAGGTAGATCTTGTTTCCATGGCCTGGGGGTCTCACGCTCACAGAAGGTACCTCTGTTGTTGCTGACAGACGTCCTGTTGAGCTCCTCCAGGTGTGGACTCCCCAAAGAACTGCTGTAATGCCCCCATATTGAGGATGCAACACCCAGGCTGGCAACTCCACCCTTTCAGGCAATTTTACCACCCCCTTCTACTTGCAGCTAGATTTCAGCTGCAATTTCCTCAGAAAGGGGAGAATAAAAGCAATTTCAAAACTTGATCCTTGTACTTTCATTCTCTCATGCTTCTTGAGCCTGTATCTCCCCCTTACTTCTTTGTCCTCAGATACACGCATACCCTGGAAAACTCAAGTCCTTTCCAGTACTTTGTCCTACTCTTCCTCCATACTGCGTTCCCTGTTTTTCTCTTGTCTTTACCCTCTGTAACAACTAGTCATAATATTTTTCTCTCACTCTCCACATTCCTATTCCAGTACCTCACTTCCTCTCCTCAGCACCTTTACAGTCCTCTTGCTTCCACCTCTCCAGACTGCCTGCTGTTCCAATGCTTCCATCTGTGTAGCCCCACTCCTGCAATGAGAGCCCTGCACTCAGAACATCCCTAGTTCAGAGGGAGCCTCTTCTGCGCGTTGCCTCTGTTCCTGCTCTGCTCTGCAGACTTGTGATGCTCAAATGCTGCCTTCGAGATTCCGCCGCTTTTTAAGCAGCCGGAAGCAGCACACTGAACTTCTCTGAAATATGTGGTAGGACGATGCCCACACCTTTTTTACTTCCACTATATTGCAATATCAGGAGCACATCACTCCCTCAGCTCTTTCTGCTGACCCAAAGGGTCTGTGGTAACTCCTGCAGGGTCAGCTGTAGCGAAGATGCCCTTGATCTGGCTTGAGATCTTTGGTGATCGATATCTGGAGTCCATTTAAAAAAGGAACACACCTTAACGGAGCACAGAGAGAAATACATCCTACTACTTATCGTATGCCTTAGATGCACAAACCCTTCTGTCACAAGAAATAACACATTCAAAATTCATTGTTTTGATCCTGAACAGCATTTCAAGCATTCAGAGTACAGCGCTACTGAATAAGCTGAGAATGCTCCTTGCATCCCTCTGACAGGACAGCTCTAACACTTATTTTAAAGGTTCATTCATTACACCAAATGATTACAAAACTTAAAATCATTTCACACTAAAAGGGAAAAGTATCAGAAAAGGTGCAGTTGTACAATGTTGATGTACTGCAGAGATTCGACTGTAGAAATAAGTTCTAATGCACATGGTTACTCTTCCAAAGATGGTGCTGATATCTCAATGCCATACAGGAACAATGTGCACTTTCATTATTAGCCCATGGAGAGAATATCTCTTATGAAAACACTGTCTGGCTAACAATCCACTGCATGGCGCAGAAGGCTGTAACTACAACTAGGAAATCTATTCATTAAGGCCACACAATTTTAACAGTACAGTATATTGAATAAAATAATTTTATTTTTTTTTAAACAAGATTTATGGAATCTGGAAGTAGACAACAAAAGATATTTTTTAACTGAGACTTAATATGAGAGATTCTCTACCCAAAAATGTGTCAAACATTAAGGTCATAAAGAACTCCAGTGTCCTGTGCTATACTGTATGATATGTAAACAGATTCTGAAAATACTATTATATATTTTGACACTGCAGAATGCAGATCTTTAAAAAAATAAAAATAATGTTTAGTTGCCTCAAGGAATTTCTTAGAAGTAAAGCCATTTGAAGAGCCATTTCAAGTCTGTGGTGACAAACTCCTGTACAAACAAAATATTTCCTTTTTCCCAAATGCAGAATAACTGGCTGAAGGCGGTTCCCTATCCAAGTGATGCCAGCAACACAGATCTGATTGTATGACTCTGACTCCAGCACTTAAAAGAGCACATTGGTTATACATGGCTTTTAACCTTGGGCTACAATTATGCTACCAGAACTAAATTCAAGTCTAAATCAGTCATGTAGAGACGTGTGTGTCATCTGAGCACTGTTTAGAGTCCTTGTTCTCCAGATCTGATGGAGGTGGTGAAGGCGCTCTGAGGTTCTTGTGCTTACATTCAAGGCAGGATGAACTTTGCAGACACCAGCTTCTCCCATTAACGACAAGCCACAGATTCCAAAGTAGGCATGCAAAGCATCTGAAAACAGGGCAAGAAAGGAAAAAGAAAATTACATTCCTCTCAGGTTGAGAGTTAACTGTTCCTGGATGGTACACTCCTTAATAATTACAGCTATGGAACACAAACAGGTGCTATGTTTTGAACTAGGATTTGAGGCAAGATAACAATTTCTGTTCAAACCCTCCAGCATGAAACAACAGTCAGCCATCTCTAAAACAGATCTTGTTTTATTTTATGAAGTTTCCTGCCCACTACACAATTTCATCCGAGTGCTCAGGCCAAACAGCAAAAGAATTTGAGGAGCTGGAAACACACTTCCTTCAATGGAGTAACCTGTTCTTCTTTCAAACATGAAGGAATTGTTTTTGCAGGTGAAAGGTGAGATGGATACCTGACTACTGGAGAATCAACATTAGTACCACTGGCTGCTGAACTGCAAAGATGAGAAGAGAGAAAGATATTATCACTTTCCCTAACGTCCCTTCTTCCAGAGAGAATACACTATGGATACAAATACGTGAAGCAGCTTGATCAGCTCTAACCGACCACTGCTGCCTAAATGAGATGCTCTTCCTCCCTCAAGCACCCTGCTCCTGCTGCCTGCCTTATGCCAGGGAATATCGGCCTCAAGAGACGTGTAGCTTTTCAGACTGACTTTCAAAGGCAAGAAACCATTTCATAAGCTCACTGCTCAATAAGCACACTGGTGCAAACACCTACTATTTTAAATCAAAAAACAGCTTTAAATAATGTGATTGGCCTCTTGAACCAACAGTGTATTAATGTCTGTTGTCATGAGATCATCAGAAATACAAAACAGCATTTTCCTGGATCATCAGTTGTGAAAAGGTACTTGCAACTTTGGTAGTCCATGTAGTATTTTGATTTCTGTAAGTAGATCTCTGGTTTTCACAGTCTGTCCTAGCTTTCCTCCTGAAAACAGCACCTCACAGCAAAGGCAGTTTGAGGTTCCAAATGTAAATTTGTGTTTGTTTTTGAATAAAACGGGAGTTACAGAAGTTCAAATTCTGAATCAGCTCTAGAAAGCGGGTATGAAAATGGCATATTTTTACTTTGCAAACTTTCTCTGCCATATTCTGTCACATTCTGTCCAAATTTTGCAACCGGAACATAGGCCACTATGCTCAGCTTTGCAAAAGCAAAGCATTTTGCAATTACAGTGAATTCAAGAGGGCTGTGTATGTTTAACCATCAGCAGGCTTTTGAAAACAATGGAGCTACACAGACACTTTACGTTAGTAAAGTGTGAAATCTTTGTTGTGGGAGACACATAATGTTCAAGACAACAGCTTGGCTTTCAGATGGCTAGACTAATCTTGCAGGCAGCTCAGCTGTGCATGTTACGACACTGAAGTAGCAGATCTTTGAAGCTTAAATTCAACAGTACCAAAAGAAACAGTAAATTAAGTTTTTTTCCCAGGAGACATGCAGTCTGTGGAGATATGTACAGCATAAACTATCAGAGATGAAAGAATTTAGCAAAACTTCTGAAACATTCATAGGAAAAACATTAAGTCCTCTCTGTCTCCTGGTTTCTTTTCTATGGCCAGACAGGACACTCAATTTCAAAAGCAGAAGCTACTTTAACCTCCTCTCAAAAGAAGGCTTACGAGACAGTAAAAATTTGATTTGTAGGAAACAGTAGTGTTTAGACAGGAACACCATACAAAGTTTTGTGGCAAGGCAAATAGTATTATTGCCTTGCTCAAATCTATCTCAAATGATCACAGCTATGTTAAAACACAGGCAAAGGAACTTTTAACATGACTAGAGTTCTAAACACACTGTTTTCCTTCCTAACCTAAGTAAATATTTCAACATAAACTGAAATGCTCCCTCTCAGTGATACTGATTTGTCCCCATAATGTAGATGTGGCTGCTATGGCTATTGGAGACCCACACAGAGCTAGTCTTCATGAAACCTAGGCTGATTTTTAGGTTTCCTGGAAGGGGTACGATTGGCAAGAATAGCACAAGTATCATAATACCCATCCGGGTCTGCTCCAATTCTGTATTATTTTCTGTATTATCCAGTATTATCTTCCAGAAGGCATTTCTGAACTCAACTTTCTTCAAAATAAAATGATTTCAGGCAGAAATATCTCTGTGAACATGATTACACTTATTATTATGACTATATCTTTATCTTGCTTAGTGAGTTTACAGACTGTTTATTTTCTCTGTACAAACTGCTACTGAGCAACACCATGGCATAAGTTTTGTTTTCACATTTTTACAGTATCTCCTGGGAATTCTAGCATCTCTGCAAATTAACAGTATCCATTTCTAAAATGCAACCAATAATTAGTACAACTTTCATACATACTATGAATGATGTGTAGTTAAATATTATCTTTTACAGATTTTAATTATCTAAAGAGCTGGCTATTTTTAACTACAGCAGAGACTTTGGAATATGCTTAGAGGATTCTTAACAAAACACATGTTCTGAAATGTTTTACTCAGACCCCTTACAAAGACATTCAGTGCATAGTACATGAATTAAAATGTTTGAAAACACGGAAAATCTCATTCAGCTCTTAGTAGACGGCTGCAGACATAGTCTAAACAAGAGTAGCTTACTTGTTCTGACACTAAACAAGTAAAAGCTATATCCCCTTCTTCCCTTTTAAATCATGAGAATCTTGGTCAAAATATATTTTTGATTTTTTTTATTGCTTTTGAATATTGGGGGAAAAAATAAAAACTCTTCTTCACATCTCTCAGCTATTTGGCTGCTGGAACACATTTGTAGCTTAGAACATACTCACAAATGGGTAAATAAATTTACCTGGATGGCTATCTGGCCATTTGGCAAATCCACCAACAAGGCGATCTTGAGTTGAGAGGATGTAATTTCGGTTTTTCTCAAAATTTGTATACTGGAATATGTTCAAGAGCTGAAAAGAAGGAAAAAAGAAGATGTTACAGCAATATACTGAACTTTCATATGGTGTTACAGCAATATACTGAACTTTCATATGGTGTTAGAGTAATATACTGAACTTTCATATGTTTATTTTATAGTGTAATTTAGTACATATTTAAGTATATAACACAGACACTGGTAAATTTCTAGTAATCCAGCAAAATTCCTTATCATGCATTTTAGCAAGCTGAGAGACATCTATGCCCCAGATTCATGCATCTGCATGAAATATACAACTATGCCAAGTAAAAAATAGCCAAGATGGTTAAGATATCAAAACCACTTAAATTAAATCACAGCCTATGGCTTTTCTGTGCATTACCTTCAAAGTTGCTCCGACCCAAAAGGAATAGCAGGTGTCTACAGGTTTGTTGGGTCGCCCGTGGTAGCCATTCTGCTGTCTCATGATGCACCATCTTCTTATTCTGTCCAGTTCTTTTTCTGAAAAAACTTCCTCCAATTTACCCATCAAACACAGTGATGCAATACCACAAAACGTAGAGCCACCTATGAGGAAAGAGTTGTTCATACAATGTTTTAAAATGGCCTGATTTACACCGCAGCCTGCATGATCCCAATTAGAATTGAACTAGGATAATGATGATTGAATCAGCGGATTTCTACAGGAGTAGAGAAGTGCTAATTAACACAAAAAAGTATAACACTTTTCAGCTCAGCACATATATCAAAGGGAAAAAACAAAGAAGCAAACAAAAGACTCTCGCACAAAGATGCCTGAATTCATTTTGTTAAAGCTGGCGGGCCCCTCAGTGCTCCCCCAATTCACACTACAGAGCAGCTCAGGAATGAGCAAACAGTAACGCAGCAGAAGACGGTTCTTCATATGCAACTCATCTAAGGAAAACTAATGGGAAGCCAGCACTCAGGTCGAAACAGAGATGCCAAAGGCAGGCTCAAACACTGCCCTCCAGAGAAGAAAAATATACGGAAAAGCTTTTATTTAAAATGCGATATACTTTTCCCCATATATCACTGGGGGTCATAAGGTTAAAGGATGAAAATTTATAAAGCAAAGTCTGCCAGCTTGCTTCTTCCTGCAGAATCTTACACAAGTCTTTGTTTTTCTTCCCATTACTACCTGGAATTACTGAAAAATTGCTCTGGTTTTGGTTGATGGGACACTGTCCTTCCAGCCATTTTCTTTTATTCTCCCATATTGTGTTCCAATGCTTCTTTTAGGATGACTAGTACTGCTACGTAACAGGACAGATCACTGCTAATGATGTTTTAGTAGGTATCTGATGAGCAGACATGAAGTCAGAGAAATTCAAGACACTGACAATGCTATGAAAAAAGTGGGATTCCCACAGCTGTAACAAACATTAATTACACTTAAAAGGATTTGGAGTTTTGTTTTGTGTCAAGGAAGCCACAAGGTGAATTTGGGAATCAGAAGATGAAGTCACATAGTCTGCACATCATTTTCATAATTCATTAAAATCAACCACACTTACAGCCAATCATTCCATTAGCTGTAACTGCCTAATTACAGTCCAGGAAAGAGCAAGTTGTTGATTCAAGACTGGGGACCCAGGATTCACTGCTGGCCTATCTGGGTGCTAGAAGACATCACGTACTCTAAGATTACTTCTTGCTGTGATGATGAAAGACCTGGCAAATACTGGAATAAAGATACTCATTATCTCTAGCACTGTGGATTAACTTAGTTAACTACTTTTTTAAATATGCAAAGCAATAATTTAAGTGAAAACCACTGCCCAAACTCTAAGAAAAATATATATGGAGTAGCATAGAAGTTCAATATTAATGATGAATGTGACAGCCATTTGACAGATAAGTATCAGTCATATGAGTCAATAATCAGTCTCTTGGGAATTTTCATCTTCATGTTTTCCATCTGTTTGACAAAATTACCTGCAGCTTCAAGATTTGAGCCCCAACTGGGTGCTGTTACCCTAAGGAAATGTTTCTAAGCTTTACTGATAGTTGCTGGAACTGGAAATTATCAAGTGCACTGCACAAGGTGTTCTGCAAGTAAGTTCACCGAGCTGCAGTGGTACATGCAGAAGTGGTACATGCTGCTCTGTTTGCAGGAGATGAGGACCACAGCCAACACCTTTTAGCAAAACATTCGTGAGGTGGGAAAAATGCAGTTGAAAGCATGGAAAAACTAGAACCAAGGGAAGAACACAGGACACGTTCTGAGGCATGTTTTGGATTTGCTCTTCTTCAGTCCACTTCCTTGTAATCGTAAAGGAAGGAAAAACATGACATGCCCTGCATTTCTACAGCTGTTCTCACTTAATCTCAGCCTTTCAATGTTCTTACCATGAGATTCCAGTCCAGCTCCTTGTGCCAGGCCATTGTCATAAGACTGAAGGAAAAAAAAAAAAAAAAAAAGTTAATTTAGACCTAAGTCACTTCTGTTAATATTACCATTTCTCAATTTATTAGCAAAATTATCATCAGACCATCCCACCACGTTAATTTAGTTAAATTTTGAATCTATGCTTCAAAAAAGCTGTAGGCATAAATGGATCTGATAGCAAAATTCACACTGTTTCAATACAGGCAGCTTTAAACATTTTTCTTTACTTAAAGAACATAAGAGTTGATTTTTGCTGTAATATTTGCTAGAAGTCTGGAGCTAGGTAAACATTTGCCAAAGTGAAAACAAGTGATTCAGGTAACCATTAACAAAAATGGAACTTTCCCTTTCTGAAATGGGAAAACGGATATATATTTCCAAACAATACTGAAGTATATAAATGAAATCTGTCTCTAATCCCAAAGCTGGTTAATGTGCAAGAAGGCAAAACCTAAGGTTCTAGTCTTTGAAAAATGGCAAAGCAAAAGAAATGCTTTAGCACGGAGAAAGAACGTGAGGCCTTTAAAACTGGAGATCAGCGCTAGCGTGTGGAGGAGAATGTCAGAAGCAACAACATACTGAGGCATACTATTTGACATGAACTTAAACTGCCCTATAAAATACAGCTGTTGAAGTAGTTACTATTAAAATGCTGAAAAAAAAGGTTTGTTAAGCAAAAGAAAAAGCAGCAGCTTGACTCTGAGAAAGAAAGTGTCTAAAATATTACAGGGAGAGTCTGTTGTAAGCAATCTAAGAGTAAGCGATATTGCAAATGTTGGAATAACAACCTCTCCTCTCCATAAATTCATTAAATCATTTTGCATGGTAGGAAACAAGAGAATAAATTATTTATAAAATGGAAACTGTTTAATTTAGAAGTGTTCACAGACTGCATAAGAGTCAACAGAATTCATTATGACTGGACAAATACCAAACTGTTTAATATAATTCAATGCTTTTTTATTTGGCTTCTCAAGGCAAATTACACAGACCATACCACTTTTGTATTTCAGTTCAAGTACTGTCTGGTTCGTGTTCTGATTAGATAGTCAGAAGGCAAGTTTTATTTTTCACCAGCTATTGACTACGAATATCTCATGTTTTCTTCAAACAATTTAGTAGTTGCGAACAGGACACCTGTTAGCTAAGAGGGCCCTAGGAATTATCAGTGATCTGTCCTAACTAAAGAATGGCTACTGGAGTTAGCAAGTCTTTAGCAAAGGCATGAGGATGATTTTGCAGATTAAAACAAAACGACACCCAATAGAGATATTACGGAAAAAGAGGGAAGAGCAGCAGACAGTGGCTAAGCACATTAAAACTATATCCTCTGTTCTTGAGGTCCTCCTACAAGATTAAGTATGTAGAAGGACTGCACATCTGAAACACAAACTTCAAGCAGCAGTGTGATCTTTTAAAATTTGAAAGCAGTCAATTTTAATTAATCACTAAGAACATCTGAATGTTAAAACAGACAGTGTAAGGTTTCTTTCAACTCCTTGCAGTGCCTTTTAAGAGCACAATCTAAACCTGCTGCCACACTCCTCCGGTCCATTAACTACTAAGCGAGGGCAAGCTGATTAGCAAAGCTGTGCTGGCAAAGCTAATTAACTCTACAATTGGTAATTGTAAGAGGAGGTGGCTTGCTTTTGGTATGGCAAAGTAATTAGTTATGGAGAAAAGCTGGTACGTGTGCATCCCAGGCACTTCACTGCATTGGGATTTACAATTAGCTTCAAATTTTAATCGGCAACAGTTGACCGCTGGCTGACTGCTGCCTGTTTATTCACAGGCAGCAGTTGTTCTTTGGAGACTTGTGTGTATTAAAGAACCTGGAGTATATCTTTTCTTGCCTTTTGCTGAAAAGGCCCAAGGAATTCCATGCAAAAGCAGCTCCAGGTTATCGAAGTGTGAAAACTTCATAATTAAATACTATCCTCAGGAAATGTGCAAATCCAGTTGGACACAATCTTCACACTCCAAACCCTCTCCGTGAAAGTTTCACAACCAGCATCATTACCATCAGACTGACATACTTGCATGTGCTGAACACTCTGCACTGTACTAGAAAAACCAGGTGTCTTAATTCAAATCATTGCAACACCTCTACCTAAAAAAAGACTTGTGGCAAAACAATATATGTTCGCAAAAAAAAAAAAAAAATAGAAAAAGGAAAGCTATTTAGAGTCTATATTTGCCAAGGTCATACTAAATTTTAGTGTCTGTTAATTTTTAATTAGTGATACACTTGACTTCCAAATATGAAAAGCAAATGAGAACAAGGCTTATACGCATAAGAACTAAGTGATCAGAATTTACCGATTCCACTGGCCAAAAAAACAGCCAGTATTTTAAAATACTTTTTAGTCACTGGATATTAGAACACCATCACCATTCTGCTCTAAGGACACAATCACTCTTCATACACTTAATACCAGAGTAATTTCAACACAACTATGTTCTAATCTTCCTCCATTTTTTATGTGATGAACTACAAAAACCTTCACTATTTCATTTTCAGCAAAGTTAAATGTGAGATTTAGATAAGGCATTGCTAAAGAGAATATATTACAAAGAATACACCAGAAATTCAGAAGCCTATTACAAAGATCATATTTACTAACCAGACATATTACTTTCCATTCAAATTATTTGCAATTCATATGTACGTTGATCTGCATAGCTGAAAAAAGGTTGTAATCTATGAATTGTGCAGAGATATTTAAAGTGAGCTCCATGTGCAACCGATGACATAAAAGGGTAAAATAAAACCACATCTTTCTGTTCCAGCACCTTTCTACTGAACAATGCAATCTGTTTTGATTTACAATTAATGGCTGTATCAGAAAAAGGCCACAATAGCCACAATAGCAAAGCAGGAACACACATTTGCAAGGAAATCTACAACACTGATTGTATGATCACACAAGCAAAAACAAATTAAAAAGGCATGCATAAGTTTTACTTTGAAATATAAAATACTCCTGTTTCAGCACTGTCTACAAAATCTTAAGCAGTCTTAAGGTTAACATTCATGGATGCCCCAGTTCATTGAACAGAACCATTATGTGTACTACATTTTTTTAAGAAATACACAGCAGCTCTCCGCTCATATGATAGATAACTGAACTGAAAAGCAATTTGAAGGAGGTCATTAGCAGGAAAGGAAGCAAGTGAGAGGAGAGAACGACCACCGGAGTGAAACAGTTTTCACAGAAGGCTACCCTACCCCTGATACCTCCCTGCACACACCTTCCAGTCGGTGGTTGGGGCCAGGCAGTGTGCAAAGACTGCCCCTATCTGCTCCGTGGTGTTTTGCAGACCCCTCAGCATGTGGTTGATCTTCCCAGGGCCATCAAACCCAGGCACCGCCGCTGCCTCGCGCACACCATCTCTGCTGTGCATCTCAGATGCACCAGCACAAGCACGGGAGCCCTGCTGAACTCGCACAGAGTCTCACAGGGTCTCATCAACCGCGGAGCCTTCAGCAAGCCTGGGCAAGGACATTAATAGCCCTTGCTACACACTGCTTCTCATAAGGGGCCTGTTGCCTATAGCTCAATGCCTAACAATCTTTGGCATCCTCTCTCAGCCATCCAGAAGCAGCACCAGCCTCAGTGATAGACTCATCCCATGCCCAAACCACAGCCTGACTTCATCACTGAACTAAAGCATTAACCTCTGCCTTCCCATGAGGTCTTTGTTTAGGCTTCACTTATTAGGCTGTTTAGGCTTCACTTATTAAAAAAGGCAAAAGGCACGCATGCCAATTCTAGCAGGAGCGCAGCAACTGGAAATGGCAGGTTCCAAAGCTCTACAAGCAAACCACAAATTCAATTCAGGTCACGGCAGACAGTAGTTCTGCAGTACAACTTCAAACTTGCTCCAAACTTGCAAAAAATGTCTACGTGCCTGCCTTACTGGTGCTCTCATATGATGCTTTCTGGTCTTCCTCCTGAAAGAGAGAGTTGTTTTCTGCTCACCTAATCTTTTCAGTGCCACTTATTACTTTAGCGAACTCCATCATACTCCATATCATCATCTCATTTCCAGAATGAAGAGTCCTGGTATTAAAAAAGCTCCCTTTACCTTCTTACCTCTGACCATTCAACTCAACTTTCTTCGCACTTGTCCCAGTTTCATTGTATCATTTCTGCACTGCACTCGGGTGCAGAAAATGCGAACTCAGTGTTGATGTGAAGTGCACAAGACCCCTGTGAGGGTTTCATGCTTTCCTTTTGCTCTCTACTTTAACAGTTGGGTTTCCTTTTGTTAAGCTAGCTGATTAAAGGCTAATCGTGGTAAACAAAGGCCCAGGGAGGATCAGAGGAGCAATGTGGGAGCAGGAACGCCCAGACTCCATCAGTGCCAAGGGAGGGAGCGTCAGTCGCTCCTCGCACCATCACAGGAGTCGGGACAAGGAGCCAGCAGGGACACGCAGGCCGACAAAGGGGGGAAAGGGAATTCCAGAATTCTTAGCTTACTATTAGCTTACTAGAGGCAACAGTAAGCTTATTACTCTTAGCTCTTAATAGTTAGCTATTATCTCTACTCATATTAAGCCACTGCAGTTTTCAAACTTACTCTGACAATCATTTGCATTAATCTTTGAAAATGAAACTCATATAATTAACAAATGCAGTATTTTACAAACACATTTATTCATTAACTAAAATACCAAAAGTGTGCTGGATATACTTTTAGTAGGTACAGCATCACTTTCACATTTAAACCAATTCGCTAAGTAAGCTGAATAAAATTACTGCACAAACTCAATTACTGAATTTCAGCATTTGTACATAACCTTCAAAGCCAGAAATCTTTGAAAGTTTCACCTTATGTCTTTTTAAGTTTTTGTAGTCTAACACCAGTTCTTTACCTTCTCTGAATCTGCACCTCCCATCACAGGAATAAATTGGTTAGGTATGTGCTCTCTTTAGGCTTACTATATACTCAAGCTCAAATAAAAAAAAAACATTTGGCTCTGTCAAAAAACCAAAGTAGTGTGCACACAAAAAGAAATACCTACACTAACATTTTTTTTAAATTGGAAATACCTAATAAATATTTAATGAACTGCATATGCTGACCACTTATTAAGTTTGAACTGATCTCAATAATTACTTTCCTCTTGATTCTGTAAACCATTTAAAATGCAGCACTACAGCTAATTTGAAGATTTATTAATGCAAGGTTTTATTTAGGCATTTTTTAAATTTTAAGAATTTCAAGTTTCTGTTTAAAATATGGCTTTCAATTTTAAACTGAGTTTTAAATAAGAAAGATCAGATTTAACTAAACCTTCAGTGAACCTACAACAGAACTACGGTTATGTTATTAGTGCACACATTGCACTGAAAATATAAATGGAAAAATGTACTTTTCATATTCAACTTACTGAAACAGGAATAGGAAGCAAAAAAAACAAAAAACATATTTGAATTTGGATGGATGGTGACAGTGAAGAAATAAAGCCGTTACATTTCAGATGTTTTAAGGAACAGCTCTCTGATAATAACTCACCATGCTTCTTCTGATGTAGTCTATTGCTTTCTTCATATCCATGCCTGACCAGTTATCGAGCATGTAGCAGATGCAGGAAGCGCAGTACACGAATCTCATATCGTTCTCACTTCCTTCCAGCACAGCACAGAAACTGAAAGAAAGGTTATTCTCATTATATTTTGCACTAGAAAATGCAAAGAATGTTTTAGAAATTATCTTTTTATTTCAAAATAAGTTACTCTAGTTACAGCATTCAAAGAAGCGGCAATGTAACTCAGTTCTGCAAAATATTTTCTTTTCAAAACATGTGATCCCAACCAAGACAAGCAAAATTAATAGAACTACTAATATTTAAAGGTTTGGGTACCCTTTCTTTCTGGCAATGGTCTGTATTTATCCGAAGATGCTGATGTGTGTATTCATTCACCAATCATTACATATGCTGAAGTATGAGTTAGTATTATAATCTACTACTCTTAGGCAAATTCATTGCTGCTCTAGAAGTCTTCATAACTCATTCTGCTTTTCTAACTCACTTCATGACCAGGTTTCCATATATTTATAAATATAACTATTATTACCATTTCTAATTTAAAATTAAAAAAAAAAAAAAAATACTTGAAATACTCGCAATCCTATTTTTGGCTTCTAATAGTTGAATTTCTTCCAAACTCTGAGAACATTCTAAAATTGTTCTATCTAGATTAGATATGAACTTGCCTTCTTTAAGAGATCCCTAAAAAGAAAAGTGATGTTATGATTTGCTTCCTGGCAAGCCTCCACAGGGTTCATAGAGCTAGATAAGAGTTTACTTGCAAAAAGCTAGCACAACAGAATATTTTCAGGAGTCCTCCTGTCAGACCTCTATACCAGAAGGATCTCTACTCCATTGCTCTTTGAATATGGCAAAGGATATTAAGGGGAACCAGGACACTTCTTTAGATGTCCCAGTAATGCAGTTTACAGCTTCATCCCATCCTTTGGCAACGACGGACCAGTATGTTATTCAGGCACTTCAGAGAACATCAAGCCAAGATAAGACAAAAATGAGCACAAGCGCATTTATTCATAATTTTTAAAGGGACAATATAATTAAGATTTTTTCCTCTTGGATAATAGAAGACATGGATAACGAAATGAAAACTAAGCATAGCATACTTATGCTATGGTCATACTAGGGAAGTTTTCCGTTCCCTTACTCAACTTACTGACTCTCCCCACCGCGGATGTGCAAGATGTCAGGCAGTAAAAGCTCTTCTCACAGGTATCAAGCACTCATGCCCAAGCAGCAATCCTATCCCAGAAAAACTCAAGGTGTCGTCCCCTCCCTTTGCTGATAGCTGGCACGCTTCAGCATCTTACATTTAACCCTATTCTTTAAGCAGCCTGTACATTAAAACCACACATGATGCACACGATGCTGTTCTGCACGTTTGCAGGTAGTTTGTTATTGCAAATGGACTCGGTGGCAAGTCATCACTTTGAGATGCTAGTGCATCTGCCACAACTCTTCCTCACCGCCCACTCTCGGATATACTGCAGCAACACAAAATGCTCAGGCAGCAACAGAAGGGAGGTGGCAGCAGCACTGACACCCCCATGTCCTTGTAGACACATCCAAACCAGGGCACACCTACAAACATCCTAACACAAATCTGTACACACGCATCACAACTTAGCCCATTAACATCATTCTGTGGCTGTACATGAGAGAAAATTGTAGAGCATGCTACCAGTGACTTCCACTTAGAATATTCTCAAGGTCATAGTTTTTGTTTTAAATGTAACATTGCATTTTGAACAAAGTATTCTATTAAAACAAAAGAAATGCCTGTCAAAAAAACGCTTTCAATTTACTAGCTTTCACAGCTAGTAAATGCAGAGAGAGAGAGAGAGAGAGAGAGTGCAATTTAATTATGTGGTGAAAAGAATTCCTTCAGGAATAACATTTCCATAATTATGCATTTTTAACATATTATTTTCAAAATCAATATCCAATAAACTCTTAACTACACAGACAGGTCACGTGACCTACCAGCAGTTCCATTAACTACCAGCTCCAGCCTACATTAAAATCAAACAGGAATTGACTAAAGAGAAAATGTGTCATTTTTAAAAATAGGCATGCAAAAGGGATGAAAGACATCATGAAGCTTAGCATTATTATATTTCTGCTGTAGGCTGTACATAGGCTAATTCATCCTGCCGTATTAGTACTCTGTCTCAAAACTAAAGCTCACCCTCCCATAAAGCAAAGCAAACATCATTTTAATAGCGCTCCTGGGCTTTGCCAAACCAGACTACAGGAACAGAGAGAATTCCACTTATTTGAAAGATGCAACAACAACAAAATTACCCCCAAGGCCTATTCCAACAGTATGTATCCATAGCTGTAAGCAAATAAACACTGCACCGTAAGAAAGCAAATCTGGAGACAAGGTGCTGTTTGGCACCTGCAAAATGGCGCATGTTCTGTGGCTGATCTCCACCAAAAGGTTTTCAAATAGAAAGAAAACAGCACCCCACTATTTTCAAAAAACATGTGCACTATGTTTCATTCCACGCTTAGGTTTTCCATTAATCTTTCAGAAGGATGTAAAATATAAAATATAATTTACCTTCCATCCTCCAGCTGCAGAGCTCTCAGTCCTTCCAATAAGGCATCTTTATTTACTCGACTTAAATCATCTCCAAGAATAACCAGACAAGAGAGACCAGTGTAAGTCATTGCTATATGCCCACTGTCATAGGGGTGAGATGTACCAGGACCCTAAAGAAAAAAAAAAGAATATCATAAGACTTTATATCACAGTCAAATACCCATTAAAAAAACAATTAAGTTATGCAGTTGAGAGTTAAGCAAAGTTCATTTCTCTCCACAAATTATGGTTAAACTGAAGGCACTTCATTACACTTCCCACAATGAAACCAACTTACTGCGCAGTTCTGATACCCTTGTAACCAGCAAGTTTTGGAACAAGGCTGTACCAACACTGATATTCATGCAAGAGCTAGCCAATAAAAAAGAAAAAAGAAAAGAAGTCGGATGTGCTCAACTGTATCTAAGCTTATGCTGACACACTCCTCGTGGGCTTTAGCTTCCTGGCAGCAGGATGAGGTTTCTGCTAGGCAGCTAGACCTCTAGAGGTTCCTTCTGCAAAGACTTCAGAACCTAATTATCCACAAGTACAAAAGCATGAGAGAGATTATTAGTAATCTCTCTGTCCACTGAAGGGAAAGCAAATTAACCCCTCATCCACTTTCAGCTCTATTAAAAAACAATGATCAGGGCTTACACAGAGTATTTATGTTAGAAAAGTCAAGTCACCAGGGAAGCTAAACGGGAGTTAATGCTGACTAGTTGCATGGTGCAATCATGAGATGGGGAGATGATGGGTTATGTTCTGAATGTATTTTGTTGGTGCCATTTTACAGGTATGCCCTGGACACTACCACCACATGTAACAAGATCACTCTGGTAAACCTGGAGGACCTGAAAGTGTTGGGGTTTTTTTTTTGATAGAAGAGGTAAATTCTGGACCGTGCAGCAGAGACAAATGAGTTTCTGGGACTCATTTTACTAGGATTATGCTAACTGCTATTTTTACTTTGCAATTCATAAGAAAAAATGCAAAAAGCAGTATAAAAATAAGTTAAGATGTAATGCTACTGGTATATGCCATTTTCCCAGCCACAGAGCTTTATTTCAGTAAGAAGCCGGGGAGCAGCGGGCACTATGCAGCAAGGAGCCCCTTCCATCCCGCAGGGAGCCGCGTCCCGGGCCCAGATCAGAGGGAAGCGGAGGAGGTGCCTCCAGTGGACGCTGGGCGCACACTGGAAGGGAGAGCTGGGTCTGCAAATCGATGTTAATTGCAAACCAGCGTGCTGTTCACACGCTCGCAGGGCTATTATTAAGTCCCTCTCCAAATCACTATTGGCATCAGGAATAATGGAACAGTAATAGCTAGAGTGAAACCGTTCCACTTTAACTTTGAAAACATTTTTTTTCCAGAGGAAGATTATATTTACTAAGCAAATCAGATTTACTCTAAGAATATGCAAACTTGACTTTTAAAAAACAATGATTATAGAAATCTTATGCAAATGTCTTAACTGCCTCAAACATGCTTGGATATTCATGAAATTTTCTAAAGCATCTGTAATTCTCAAGAAATCTCCTTTAACTGGCTATTTTTCAGAGAGTTTCAACATAAAGTTCAAAATTTCTGCTTCACTTTTTTTTCTTTTAATTGTACTTCTTGTATACACATATCAATCCACACCGCCTGTGAGGTTTTGGTGGCCTACAAATACATTAAAATAACTGGATCTTTACTTTTAGTGAATACTGATATGTCTATTGCACTACCACTTGCTGCAGTAAATGCAGTTCACATAAAGTGCATTGCAAGTACGTTTAACCCATGCTGATGGAACAAGATCCTTGCTCCCCAAGAAAACAAATAAAAAAATACAGTACCCATCACTGGTATAGCTAGCCAGTGCACACATTTCATCTTTTCCATCATACGTGTCAGCAGCAGAGGTGACAGACTGTTATCCCAAATACAGGATTTCAGCAACCCCAGGGGCGTAAAAAATTTGCAAGTTGGGTAGTTTCAGCAAACAGCACAAATTGCACCTTCCTGGTGCAGAAATGAGTGTTGGCTGCACAGAAGTTCACCAGGTTCATGTCCAATCACCTGTGCAATCTTCTGCTTCCATCCTCAAACACCACCGCACAGTTAGGTGCATGCAACACAGCAGGGACTATGAGCACACAAATTAAACAGTGATCCCCAAACACGTCACTATAAAGGGAAAAGGTAACAAGTCTCAGGTTTGGTAAGGTATCTGTTAGCACTTCCAAAATTTGTGTGGATAGGAGGAAGCCTTTCATGATATGCATTGCTAGCCTATGGCCCCATCACATATTCTTTAGTATTGGGCTAGATAATGCTTTTAGTATTCAAAATATTTTTCAGAACTATCTAACAAGATTCTTTTCATTTATCAAAGCACAGAAAAAATGTTCGTATGCATCTGAATGACTTTTTTTCCCCTTTAAACAAACCACTAAATTTCAAACCTACAAAGATGAACCCTTCCTAGTAGCTCCAACCACTGCCTCTGGCATAGGCCTTGCAGTTCTATCTCCCTCTTCATCCCTTCCATCCGTCCACCAAATAACAACCAAAAAAAAGCCAAAACTCCACCAACCAAACCCAAAATCGAACTCCAAACCAACCAAAAAAGCCAAGATCACCAAACCCCGAACAAAATGTCCCCTTAAGGTACACCTAGACATAAGCTATATTCAAACGGAAAAATTCTACCTTTGCACCTTTGATACCACAGAGGCGAGTGTTCAAGGTAAGATTAATGCTGGGTAATGAAATGCAATCTTTGCCACATATAATGATGCTTCATAGTACAAACGCTATGCTTTTCTCTCTAAATGGAGATCAAATGAAAGACAAACAGTTGAGCTACAAGACTCCTGACTTTTAAGTTGAATATCAAGGATATTTAAACATTACGTCTATTTAAAGGCAAAACCTGTTGTTAAATTGCTTCTGCTACGTAGGACAAAGTAATTCAGACTCTGAGCAAAAGTCCTCTTTGATTTTATCAAAGACACCATATTCAAAGCAACTGATTTTTAATGGACACCTTCAGGCTTGGTTAAAAGAAACCTTTTCTTAAGTTATATGCTATGAATAAAGCCTGCTTTCAGCTAAATTGCACTCTTTCTGCTTCACAGGCACTGCAGACCAAAAGCGCAGCAGCGACAACTAATCAGACCGTCAGGCCAGGCACAGAGAAGTCCTTGCTGACACCATGTGAGGTGGCGAGAGCCCTTCACGGGCCACAGAGGCTCCGTCCAAACGGGGATATTTGAGGAACGAGAGCAGTTCCTTCTGGAAGGCGGTGGTGACGGGCGCGCGGCTGCACCCGCAGCCCCTGCTCCTGCCAGCGGCGCCTGCTGCCAGCCCCACGCTCCGGGCACTGGCACGTGGCGGGGATGAGGGTAACCAGTGCTGTGCTAGCGAGAACTGAAACACTGGTGCCAATGCACCCCCGAGCCCCAGGCGCCGGGACACCGCCAGCTCCCACGCACCACTAGCGATGACTGCTGCTTCGGACACGAGGAGACCAGGATATCTCGGCTTTGAACAGTGGAGCCAAACAGTCCCCATAGTTCTGCATGAGAACCCATAACAGTAACTACAGTCTGAGCCTCCCTAAAATTCCTTAACTCTAAGGAGGCGTAAGTTCTCAAAACACTAAAATGTGCGGCCAAACACATCGCTGCGCAGAGCCAGATTTTCAAAAAGCTGTTTTCTCACCCGCATCTGAGTTACAAACATGGATTGTGTTGTACTGAGAACACAAAACAGGTTTTCATTTTTCTGAGCAAAAACATATGTTACTTGCTGCATTCTTTCTAAGAAAGTACGAGGCACTGGCTTTCAATTAAGCCTCTAAAAACTGCTTTGCAACAGTTAAAAAGATTCAGAAGACCTATTCCTATCTGAAACAGTAAGGACACACTGAATCCCACATTTCTAAAGTCAGTTTAAACTCTAGTAAGATTAAACCTTAGACACCATGGAACCTGTGGTAATTTCTAAAAGCAGTAGTTTTCGGATTTGAAAGCACACTGATAAAAGCAGCACTCAGCCTTCACTTACAGTTAAGTCTATCAACCCTTGTTAAGCCTGTGAGGAGTAGTCAAGGTGATCTTTTTTTGCAACTTTTTTGCTACCATCCCAAAGATCTGCACAGGCACCACAGAAAGTACCGAAAGGATGACAGTTGTAAGGACAAGAGAACAAGGGAAATAGTCGGGCAACTGCAGAAGATTTGGGAGGGTCTAACATATGTTCCCTGCTCTGCCCTTCTTTTTCCCCTATTACTTCCAAGCATCCCTAGTGACAGAAGAGACTTGGCCAGCTCCAGTATGGCATTTTCTCACAATCAAAGAATGCAATCACTGTAGCGGCATGGAACAAGTAACTGCCAAGGCAAATCCACAAAGCTTACAGGCACTTTTTTAAAGATACAAAATTAATTGACCATCTCTAAATCATGATTAAAAACAAAATAAAGCAAACAAAAACAAAATCCACAGGACATTAAACATAACCAAAAGTCATTAAAAGTAGATTTCTAAATTCCTCCCTCCAAGTCATTTCCAAATATTTTAAGGCAGCAGCTCTGGCAATATTTAAACCTTTGTGTGTCCATAAAGCAAAGCAGATCCGATCCCTTTAACGTAGAAACAATAAAAAGATATTATGATGCTTGAACAAAAATTACATCCACTTATGAACAGTTTTTCCAGATACAACAACCTTGTAAGTAATTTCCACTGGTGAAATGACTTTGTCCCTTGCACAGTTTGGATAATAGGTTATGAGCCACTGATGGGCTGCCACATACTTTCTGAAAAGCAAGCATTTATATTTGAAACACGTAACACTGGAACATGAGTGTTGAATTAAAATACCAGGAAGTGCAGTCAAGTTATAATGGCACTTTTCAGTTCCTTTAGATTATTCTTCACCAAAGGGCTCTATAAAAATCTCAGTATTTTATGCAAAGATCTTTCTTCAAGCTTTATGCAAAGATGAAAGTTGCTAAAAAGTGTAGGCCAAGAGCATATACTGATTTAATGTACAACATTGCTCAGCACTGACCCAGACCTTTGAACAAATCTGGCTGAGACATTTTTACTACCTTCCTTTGGTAACGTTGTGTGCTTATTCATCTTACACTGCAGTTATAGAACAATAATAGCATTGAACTCAACTTCTTTAGGTGATTATCATCAAAAAGACGACTACTAGCTTCCTTCCACGTAACACCCATCTTTATTTTTTTTTAATGGCTATACTGAAATAATGGCATGCTACTTTGCATGTAAGCTTTATTTTTAATAAAGCATTCAAATAAGTCGCCAGTAGAGATTCCAAATATTTTCAGGCTTTGTTTGAGGTGAACATTTTCCTTCTTTCCCTCAAGCTCAGTGGGGGGTAGGACTTCCACTGAGGTTAATTCCAATTAAAAGAGATGATTAATTCATCTCAGTACTACAACTGGTGCTCACTGCAGACACCATCTGTAGTGTAAAAAAGGATAAATGCCAAAGGAAACTAAGAGACTGATTACCTTCACAGTCACAAATTTCTGCAGCACCTGGTGTACAGATGTAAGCACTCCTCTTCACAATTTTTTTTCCATACTTATAAACTATGAATATTATTGTTATGAATACATGGTTGACTTGCTACACAAAACAGAACAGTAAGTGGTTGTAACTCTACTGAAGATTAAAATTTCCACAAGATACTTGGAAACCTATGGCTGTGCTGTTAAAGTAAGTAAGACTGAGGTCAAAACAGGCTGCTGACTATCCTCATACACAAGCCAGTTCAAGCACTTTTAGATTCAACTACAGTCATAATCATATCAGATGGATATGGTTATGGTTTCAGTTTTATATCCCGCTATTAATTAATACATATGTAAAACCCTACTGCCTCTAGAAATTAAATACTTGCAGAAAGATGTTTCATCTGTGCTTCATAGCGAGGTGGTCAATCTTTTCATTCCCAAACACACCACGAAAGTTCGGTAACCTTTTTTCACAATCCCTCTTGCATGCTGTCCTGTTTCTTCCAGCCATGTCAGACCTTCTGCATCATTAGCAGTCTTTGCTCACCTCATTTCTTCCCAGGACATTACGGACATCCTCTTTTTCTGTGCAGACTGCAACTCTCCTGAACCTCAGCTGCATGCCTGAAAAGCATCCTCACTTACTGCTTTCCAGTAGAGAGGAGCTTTGCCAATGTTTGAGCGAATACGAAATCCAGCCAAGCACCCCTTGCTTCATTACGTGTCAGAGGAATACTGGAGCACAGCATGCCCTCCACCTCCTCACACACAAAAAAATCTGCCCTTCTCTTCCAGAGACAGTTCTTGAGCTGGGGAAGCTTCCTCTCCCCAGTCACAGATCAGAGCAGGGGAGAGTGCACTAGTCACAATCTGCCCATCCCTTCTTTCACTGACCCCTATACACAGAAGCAGGACCATTTTAAGAGCCCATACTACAAAAGTTCTTTGAGCATCTCAGTACCAACAACCAAAAACCCTGCCTCCCATGTTTTCCACAGCCCTACAGTTAATACAACAAAGACAGAGTATCATTTACTGCCTGACAGGTCTTCATTACACGCAACTAACCTTGGATGGGTTGAATGGCATCCCTAAATATGAAGAGCCTCTGAATCCACAGCGATCCAAGTTTGATTCTAAAGAAAGAAAAAAGATAAAGTCAGCCAATTTACTTTGCTGAAACATTCATTATAAGCTGCAATTCTCTAGCCGAGATCAAGACCTCTTAGTTCAGCACCACACACAGTAAAATAAGAGCTTGCACGTACATCCCTTTCAGTACGTTCCCTACCTCAGATTGTTATCGTTCTGAATAGGAAAAAAAAAATCAAACCAACTGGGTCCTGGTGTAATGACAAAGCAAGAGATTATTTTATTTGGTGGAAATAGGGTGCTCATATCAGCATAGAACTTATCCCTGTCCTTTAAAAAAAAGAAAAAAAAAAGAGAGGAGGATTAAAAAAGAGAGAAAGATATTTCCCTGAGAAAATGCTTAGTATTAACAAATTCTCTGCCTCTCTACATTTCTGCCTAGTAATAATACTGTTTGTTCCTAAGCAGAAGTTTTAGGATAGTCTGCAACTTGTACAAGGATAAACAAACTATCTGGTGTTTCAAGCCAATACCTGATTTAATGTGACACTGTCGGAATGAAATAGTTAATATAACATTTTTAATGGAACCACTCTCCTCTCTCACTAAAAACAGCTACAATAACATCAGACATTTCTTCAGACATTCAGGTGTATTTTTTTAATGTGTCACAATATCTGAGTGTACTGCATCCTCTATGCATTTGAGGAGTGTGCATTCTGACTAGCACTAAATTTAAGTTTTGCACTGCAAAAGCTCAACTGCTTCACTCCCCAACTGTCAAAGGTAGAAGAACCCTAATGCACTTATAGGCAGCATCCAATTTAGACCCTTGCATCAACCTATATACTTCGAAACTTGTAAGTGCACAAGATCTTGTAACAGACAAGCCTTTGGATCTAACCTCCACTAACCTCCAGAACTCTCATTTAAAGGAAAACAAGCAAATAAAAAAAACCCCAATACTTCACTTTTATCCCGAAAAAAAAAAAAATGACACTAAAGGCATAAGAAGGCCAATGGGATCCTGGCTGCATCAGGAGGATGTTGGCAGCAGGTGGAGGGAGGGGATCCTGCCCCTCTGCTCGGCTCTGGGGAGGCCGCACCTGGAGTATTGGGGGCAGTTCTGGGCTCCCCTGGACATGAGGGACGTGGAGCTTCTCGAGAGGGTCCAGTAGAGAGCAACCAAGATGATTAAGGGACTGGAGCATCTCTTGTACAAGGAGAGACTGAGTGAGTTGGGCCTGTTCAGTGGGGAGAAGAGAGGGCTGAGAGGGGCTATGATTAACATGTGTAAGTTCATGAAGGGGGAATGTAGGGAGGAAGGGGTCAAGCTCTTCTCAGTGGTGGCCAGTGACAGGACAAGGGGCAGTGGGTATAAGTTCAAACATCGGCAGTTCCATCTCCACGTGAGGAAGAACTTCTTTCCTGTGAGGGTGCCAGAGCCCTGGCACAGGCTGCCCAGGGAGGCTGTGGAGTCTCCTTCTCTGGAGATCTTCCAAACCCGCCTGGATGCCGCCCTGTGCCCCGTGCTCTGGGTGTCCCTGCTGGAGCAGGAAGGTTGGACTAGGTGATCTCCAGAGGTCCCTTCCAACCTTAACCATTCTGTGATGCTGTGATTCTGTGTAACGAAGGCCAGTTTAGCATATACTAGAAGCTGGTATCATATAGCAACAAGAAAAGTATTTTTATTTGTAGATTAAAAAAAATATTTTTTGTTGTAACTATTCTGCTGTAACTTAAATCTTTACAGCAAAGAAAGTTTGCCTAGTAATTGCTGGAGTCAAAGACCCTGCTTTCTGTGTTCCAACAGATTCTGGAAAGCACAATAAAGATCAGGTTCAAGTGGTTCCTGAAGACTCTGTAAAAAAGCTTCATAAATTAAAACATGTTAAATATTAATGAATCAGTAAACAAAAAGGAAAATTAGTATTTCTACTAATTTTCCTGACACTGTGAAAAAGTGACATTTTTAGGAAAAAAAAGTGTCGATCAGTTTACATAAGCTACAAAATACATCTCAAAAAGGCACAAATGTGGAAATTCTCCATCCAGAGGATGTCTACCAGTGCACAGCTACCGATGTATAATTTCCAAAGAGACGGGAAAGTGTTTCTTCTCTGTATAAAACAGCATCGTTAATGCCCATGTAGATGTTTCCTAGAGTTTCAGAACAAGTGAATTGCCAGCTGCAAGCTGCAGTTCTTAGCTTTTAAAAATAGATGTGGAGCTGGTAAAGGAAGCGGCAAGCAGGAAGTGAAAACAGCTCATTTTGAGCTGTACCACTCTGACACACTGACATCATGTCTCCTCTTTTTTCTTTTTTAAACTTCCTATAAGTGCTAGCCTAACCCTAAAAGGCAAACATTTTTTTTAATGAAAAAGCCTGTCTGTCCTCACTTGCCGTGACTTTGTTTTTAGTACTGTATTGATGGCACTTGTGCTTACCTCCTGCACGAGCTTTAGCAGTGCCAAACACTCGCCTTCTTTGCTGAACTGCAAACAGCCACTGAGGAGCTGATATATGATCAAAATTCAAGCAAATTCCAGAAACATACCCTAATTAAAATGATAATAACCAGAACTAATGGCCCATGCAAATAACTTGCTGAAGTGCTGACTTCAGTCCCTGCAGTCAGCTGAAGCACCAAGCACAATACTGCAGTTGGGGGATGGCACCACCTAGTGCTCGCTTCCAGTTAAGCATATCAAACACTTTCTGAATGACCCCTAAACAGCAGTAAGTAATTAAAGTTTTATCAATCACCTTATGGCGTTTTCAAAGAACACCTGGAAAAACACTGACATATTTGACAACAGAATTAAATACATTTCATCTGTTTCCTAAAGGAAAAGGCTCTACATTTATATTTGAGAAAGGAAGGCTTTCCCTGGGTAGAGGAAGAGGGGGTCAGAGAGCATCTAGGGAGACTCAACACCCACAAATCCATTGGCCCTGATGGGATGCACCCCAGAGTGTTGTGGGAACTGGCAMATGTCCTAGCCGAGCCGCTCACCATCATCTTCGGAAGGTCCTGGAGAATGGGGGAGGTGCCGGAGGACTGGAAGAAAGCCAACATCACTCCGGTCTTCAAAAAAGGCAAGAAGGAGGACCCGAGTAACTACAGGTGAGCCTCACCTCCATCCCTGGGAAAGTGATGGAGCAGCTCATCCTGGCTGCTCTCTCCAGACACATGGAGCAGAAGAAGGTGCTCAGGAGTAGCCAGCATGGATTCACCAAGGGGAAATCCTGCTTGACTAACCTGATCACCTTCTACGAAGGAATATCTAGCTGGATAGATGAGGGCAGAGCGGTGGATGTGGTCTATCTGGACTTGAGCAAGGCTTTTGACACTGTCCCTCACAGCATCCTCCTGGGCAAGCTCCAAAGGTGTGGGATAGATGAGTGGACGGGGAGGTGGATTAGGAATTGGCTCGATGGCAGGGTGCAGAGAGTGGTTGTCAATGGTGCGGAGTCCAGCTGGAGGCCTGTACTTAGTGGTGTCCCCCAGGGGTCAGTTCTCGGTCCGGTCCTGTTCAACTTATTCATTAACGACCTGGATGAAGGGCTGGAGTGCTCCCTCAGCAAGTTTGCCAACGATACCAAACTGGGAGGAGTAGCTGATAGCCCTGAGGGCTGTGCTGCCATCCAGAGGGACGTGGACAGACTGGAGGACTGGGCGGCGAGAAACCTCATGAGGTTCAACAGGGGCAAGTGCAGGGTCCTGCACCTGGGGAGGAATAACCCTGGACACCAGTACAGATTAGGGGTGGACCTGCTGGAGAGCAGTCCCGCAGAGAGGGACCTGGGTGTCATGGTGGACGACAAGTTGACCATGAGGCAGCAGTGTGCCCTGGTGGCCAAGAAGGCCAACGGGATCCTGGGGTGCATTAAGAAGAGCGTCTCCAGCAGGTCGAGGGGGTGATCATCCCCCTCTACTCAGCCCTGGTGAGGCCACATCTGGAGTACTGCGTCCAGTTCTGGGCTCCCCAGTACAAGAGGGATGTGGAGCTGCTGGAGAGAGTCCAGCACAGGGCTACGAGGATGATCAGGGGCCTGGAACATCTGCCCTATGAGCAAAGGCTGAGGGAGCTGGGCCTGTTCAGCCTGGAGAAGAGAAGGCTGAGGGGGGACCTGATCAGCGTGTATAAATACCTCAAGGGAGGCAGTGAGGAGGAGGGGGGCGGCCTCTTTTCAGTGGTGGCCAGCGATAGGACTAGAGGAAATGGCTTCAAACTGAAGCATCGGAAGTTCCACAGGAACTTAAGGAAGCATTTCTTCACTGTGAGGGTGACAAAGCGCTGGAACAGGCTGCCCAGAGAGCTTGTGGAGTCTCCTTCTTTGGAGATCTTTAAAACCTACTTGGATGCAGCCCTGTGCCACATGCTCTGGGTGACCCTGCGTGAGCAGGGGGGTTGGACTCGATGACCTCTGAGGTCCCTTCCAACCTTCGGCATTCTATGATTCTATGATTCGATATCAGACATTAAGACTTTACATGAGGAAAGCCATAGTAGCTACATGAAGCCCAGACATTCCTTGGCCTTTGTAACTCAGCTTGATGTGAGGACCATAGGAGGTTTATCTGAGCATCTTTTTCTTTACAGAAGGAACATTCTTGTTACGGGAATTCCATGGTTATGTGATGTGATAGGAAGAATAGTGTTTTTTTTACTACTTCTTCCTCCTTCAGGCTACCTATGCATCCCTTTGGCTTCTAGTCTTTTCTTATTTTGCTAAGTACGGGAACTTAGCACTTTATGTACACTATTAAAAGCTAAAATGCAAGCAAGAAAAAGATGTTTAGCTTAACCCAGGCTGACACAGCTAGCCTGCAAAAATAAACATGAGCAACTCTTTCTCAACTAAAGCTAAAAACAACTATTCTTATGAACCGAAGCACTGGACTGTGCACAACAGGGGCTGCTACCAATGTGAACTCAAACTTGGCCATGACCAAGTTTTAGGTCCCTGGTGCAGAACAGTGATGATAGAGGGGCTACGCAGGGACCCTGCGGGATGAAATCAGCACACAAAGGGCGCCTCAGCCTTGCTCTGGGTGCAGCTTTCTCGCACAGCAAAGCCCGGGGACACCCAGCTCCCGAACGGCGTGATAGGGGCGCCCTCCGTGCTTGCCCTGTGGGCCAGTCCTGGCCTCTGGACTTGCACTCAGTTCTTAAGCTGCTCTTAAACAGGACCTCCAAGGAAAAACTGGCACTCTGCCGTCTCACGCTGCTCAACGCCGCCCTTCAAGATAGTCGCGATTAACTGTAAATTCTGTCTGGGAGCTGCTTTGTGAGAGGGCAAACGACAAAGTTATGACATGGTAAGAACATGAAGAACCAACGGTTGAGAGAAGGTCTTTTGTCGGTCCTTTCCTGATTTCTTACTTAAAAAAAAAAAAAAAAATCTTTAGCTCAAAGTTGTAATTTCTGATCAGACTTTTAAAGCAATACAAAACTTCCTCCCCTGCAGAAAGAAAAAAAAGGGACTTTTTCCCAAGATTTCAACATCCCTCTAAACAGAAACATTGAGCTCTTACCGCAAGGAAGACACGAAAGTCACATGCTAAATTAGCTTTGCAACTAAGCATAGTGTTTACTGAGCAGGAAGGAGAAGTAGCAACACTCATTGCTGTGGGAGTTGCAGACAAAATATGTTGTAGGAGATACAGAAGATGGAGACCTTTCAAACAAGCAGAAGACACTACTGAGATCAAGCGTCCAGCAAAGACTGTTGGGTTTTACAGTGGGCATCAGCTGACACTGGCCTTTCTGTGTGACATGGCCTTTCTCTCCCTCTAATTCAACCTGCATTGAGTCAGTCTCTACAGCATTTTAGCAGAAAATGGTTATGGTATCTAAAGTATACTACTTTTTTGAATATCTTATGTATCAAAAAAAAAATCAGTATATCCTGATGGACCTCAATCTTTAGATTCTTTTAATACCAGATCTCACCATCTTCACCATCTTGCTTTCATGAAGATGAGTATCACATTAAAAAAATAAAGGCTACAAACCTTCCAGCTGCAGGCAACATTAGCACATACCCCACTGGCACACACAAACATAATGCTTAGTATCACCACAGAGCACTCTGAGAGTAAAACCAGCAAGTATTCTAAACACCAAATTCTGATTTTTCTACCAAGCTCTTAAATACTCTACTGTACTAATTACTGATAAAAATAAAATTAAGTTTGTAGAGTATTCATTGTTCTGTCTCCTGTCCACTGGAAGCCTACTATAAGACAGCAGTGACTCTCAAAATAACTGAAATTTGCCACCTAAAAAATCGCCTTAAGTAAAACCAAGTCAAGTACTATTGATGTAGAAGCTCTGGAAGAAAACTTGAGCGGAAGATTTCTCCTGCCCAAGATTTCCAGGAATTCTTCTTTTTTTTCTCCTTTTAGGAATCCTTAATTCATTCAGTAATTCAAACCAAAAGATGCTGTAAAATATTTATTTCAAACTAAAATGTGTACAAGCTGAAACACAGGCAGTTCCATCTCCATGTGAGGAAGAACTTCTTCACTGTGAGGGTGCCAGAGCCCTGGCACAGGCTGCCCAGGGAGGCTGTGGAGTCTCCTTCTCTGGAGATCTTCCAAACCCGCCTGGATGCCGCCCTGTGCCACATGCTCTAGGTGTGCCTGCTTGAGCGGGAAGGTTGGACTAGATGATCTCTAGAGGTCCCTTCCAACCTCAATCATTCTGAGGTTCTGTAAAATACAAGTCCATTGTTTGCAATCCTAGTGCCAAAGTAAAATCTAAGAATGATTCTGATGCATCAAGCTATTCCTTTCAGCTAGATACATACAACCATCTTGAAACCAAAGGCCTCAGTGCTGCTGTCTACCACAGCTTAGTTGCTTCTTTGGGCACGCCAAAAGATGGAGCCAGAGCTCTACTCCAGCAAGTTACCTAAAAACACCACACGTATTAGGATGAAAAAAATGGACAGTCAAGACATTATACTGAAACCAGACATTACAGGAAGTTGTTCACTCCCTTATGAATACTTAGTCATCCAATACCCAATTTGTTGCTCTTAGTAGCATTTACATTTTAATCAGCTATTGTCCAGCAATTGATGTAAAAAGAGGGAAAAAAAGACGTAAAATATTAGAGGTCAAATGTCGAGATGAAGAATGACATTATTAACAGAAAGAATAGAATTTAACACAAATACCCCCACACAAATAAATAGATACTGTCCCAAACACTGGCTAGAGGAGGGAAGTGGGAGGATGATTTACACAGCATTCTGTCACATTATCGAAGACAGACGAACCAAAACGCCTGCTCCAAGCCTCTTCTTATGGGGTTGACTGTTTTATCAAAATACGCTCCCAAAGACAGAGAGAGAGATCAAAAAATACGCAATTACCAGAAACAAAGAACAAATAAATTTTCTCAACATTAACGGGTAGGTACCTTCTTGTGAGGAGCAACTGTATGACCTAGACCCATTAATTTTCTATAAACAGTTCAAAAATATCACCCAACCAAAAAAATAAATGAATTACATGCCGTAGGTGTGCCTGCTTGCGCAGGAAGATTGGACTAGATGATCTCTAGAGGTCCCTTCCAACCTTAAATATTCTGTGATTCTGTGATGAGAAATAAGACATGGCTTCTTTTTATTTATTACTACAAAAAGTCAATCCTCAGCAATCTTGACCTCCACATGCCCACTTCATAAAAACAATTATTTCCTAAAATAGCTTTTAGGAAAGAGATCCAATCTGTGGCATCGCTGTAGGGAAACACACGACAGCATCTCACATCAGAGCTGCCTTAGTTGCAGCCTCACTGCTGCAGCGGCTGCTCTCAGCCACCACCTAGGCCACCCCAGCAAAGCAAGAGCCCCAGGGAGCCCAAAGCAGCCGAGGGAGCCCATAGGGCTCACAGGAGCCCCACAGGAGCTCAGGGAGCCCACAGAGGCCCACAGGAGCCCACCTGGCTTCTGCCGAGCTGCCTCGGGGTGGCATTCTAAAACACTGGGTGAATTTGAACACCAGAGAAACAAAGAACAGATTTTTCACTATTAAGTGGGACCTGTGTTCAACCTTTTCCTTTCTTTGTCTTACCCCTCTCTCTTTGCAAATGCTGTTCCTTGGAGCCACATTTGTGCTCACGGCTCCTGGCACAGCTGCAATCAGTGGAAGTCAATATAATCGGTAATAGACTTTAATGCTTATTTGGCATATGAGCTTCTTTTAGAAGCAGGCAAAAATAAAATCTGACAAGATTTTTGAGGGTGAAACTTCAGCAGAATCGTATATTGTCTTATCTTCAAAGTCATTTTATAATGTCAACTTGAATACAATAAAAACAAAAAACACAAGAACTATTCATTTCTTTCAGCTTTACTTCTTTAGAGGAATCTGTTTCTAGGGATTGTGAGTCATACCGCTATCTGAAATTATCATGGCAGGACCTCAGGAAGATCAAGCTTTTACTTTGTAAAAACCAAGAGCCATATACTATTCCCCAGGTGAAAAGCAAAAGTAAAGATGTTAATATTAATAAAAAAAAAAACTAAAAACTCACTCACTGTCTTCTGTGGGAAGGACCTGCAGGGAATAAATCCATTCTATTATATCATCTTTGTTCACCACATCTAAGGAATCCAACATATCCAGACCAGAGAGTGCGAAAAATGCAATTGTCAACCTAAAAGAAAAAGATAAGACTTACACTTCCCACCTTAAATATCATGAGGAGATTAACAAATGGTAGCAGAAACAGAAGTATCTGAATTCTCAAGCTGTAATGTGGGGGCAATGCATTGGATGTAGTTCCAGGAATATTAAATTTATGTGCTGAACTATGTTCTTTAATCATTTCTCTGTCTTAACAAGACTCTTCATATTAGCCATGCTTTCTTTTACATAGTAAGATGTCTATTTAGATGTCAGCCTAAGTGCCTGCTTATCTGAAAAAAGCACTACAACATAAACTATGTTATTAACTTACTAACCTGTAAGCTAGCTCTTAGTGATCAATTCTGACATGAACATTCTTGTAACTATGCGTTAAGTGCAAGATATCCCTTAACCAAAGTTAGCTGCCTCTCCCCATGTCCCAGTTCAAGCAGGTGCTTAAAAGTTGAGTGTCAAATAGCAAGGCTTCCTTTACGGCCAAAGTATGAAGAAATAAATACACAGGGCGAATTACTACACAAAGGTACTAATTTCTTGTTCTGGAGTACAAAGGAGCCTACATGACTAACTTCATTAAACACCTAAAATTAAGCAAGTCAGACCCAAGCATCCAACACAGGAAGCCAGGTGAGGAGCTGCTGACGTGCTGAAGCAGCTCCTGCCTGCCCTAAGCACCTCTGCTTTTCCTCATTATTAGGCTGCACTGCAAACCTGTCCTGTGAATTGGGAGGTCTTGCTTCTGACTTGAATCATTTCAGCAACCTGGTTTATAGTAGAGCCTCTCCAACAGTGCAACAGTTGCACTGACACAATACTCAACACCACAGCACTAGGATGGGAACTTAAGATAGCTTGTCACCAGGGAAAATGTTTGTGCAGTGGTAAACTGGAAGGTGTGTCAGATTAAGACTTGATGAACGAATGTTTCAGCGCCCGCAGTTGTACCTGCCTTCCCTTCTGAAAATTCTTGTTCTCCTTTCACAACCTGATCAGCTGATTGTGAGACAGCTGCTGAACAGACAGAAACTACAGCTTGGCATGCTACAAAGTTCAAAGCCAATGCCAGCCCTCCGTACGGACTAATCCGCAGTTAGCCCACAGGCTGCTCAGTCACCCTCAGCATCGGAGCAGGGACCTCTCCAGCAGGACAGAAAACAGGTAATTTCTGCCCGTGGTCAGAGCGCGGCCCGTGAGCCCACAACACCCCTCAGACGCTCTGTGCAGCGCATGAACGATGGTGCAACAGGCGCTGCTTGAGCACAACGCCACACAACCTGCTGCACAAGAGGCACCACCTACAATTACGTAACACAAGCAGTAAGCAACATGACCGGTTAAGCATACAAGGAAATAATTCAGCTATCTTTTGCCTAGATCCTAAGTTTTTTCCATTTTTCTTTTTGACTGTTCTCAAAAATAAACAAACAAAAAATCTGTTTATAATCTTCTTAGATATTGAACACTAATTATCCCTCTTGAAAAAAGTACTGTACGTAACACAGGGGTCCTCGCCTAAAATATCAAACACAGAATAGCATGCACCTGCATTGTGCAAGTACTCCAGGTCAAACTAGGGATATTTTGTACTCACTGAATCTCAAGATATGTGTCTCCATTATTACTATTACAACTTACTTTTTTTAATAGCGAATGAGAAAAAGTATGCTGCACACACAAGTTACTTCCAAATATAGCAGAAATATCATTTAAGCAAACAGTCTGCTGCAAAATCATCTTTAAGGGCAGCTTAGCACTTCCAAGGCTTATAACAAGCTTTGCCACAGATCGGATCTGTATGGTCCAAATTCAGACTGCGGACAGTAACTACCTTGAGCAAAACCACTGTTTTTAAACTTTATGAGGTGAACAAAGGTTGTTAAATTACAGTATTTTTCTTCTAAGGGCTAGAAGTAATTTATGTTTTCAAAACTAAAGTTTGGCAATCTCTGACTATAAATAATTGAACGCATTACCCAGTTAAGCTCTTTTCAAAGAGGCTCAAAAGGGGCTATGCCAGTCTCAGCACTAGGGAAATGCTGCACTCCAGGCCCCCAAAACACTGCACTTATAAAAGACAAAACAACATACTTGACCCTACACCCAAAAATGCTCACATATACCTGATAAATGAATGCAGAAAGTGGCTTTGCACATAGCTAGGCTTCAGTTTAACTGGTTCGCTGCACTAACAGTCACGTTTAGGAACTGACTGTTCACAGACCGCAGGACACGCAGCGTAACATCCTGCATCACTCAACACAGCGTCTGCCTGACAGCCTCCTACACGCTATGTTTTACCTCACACACTTTCCTGTCTCACTGAGCACTGACATTGTGAATAAAGACAACCGCCATCAGCTGACACATTGTGGGAAATTAAAATCTTCATATGCAACAACTTACCTGCAGAGCGCCCCTTTCTGACTCACTCTCCAAGTCTGGTATCACTATTGCTGTACCTTGTTTTCAGGCCTTCAGTAGAAACACTTTTTTTAATCACTTTAGTTACTGAATGTGCCTTAATTTAGGACACATTAAAGGCTGAAGTCAAAATTTGTCTTAAATTGCTACTTAGCCTACGGAAAACTAACCCGTGTTTTAGGTTTCTCCTAAAGAAAGGCAAATGAGACATTTCTGATGACAGATTCTGAGCCCTTGGTCTGCAGTTTCTCTGGAGAATTATTACAAATGCTTCTGAAGTAACTGTTTTGAGGATCTGAAGAAGCGTGATACGAAATGCATCACAAAACTCCTCAGTCTGAAAGCTTCAGAAACCAGGAGAGGTGCATTCTCCCATCAAATCATAGGGGAACTGTCAGGGGGTGTATGACTGTTTACTGACCAGATTACTGAAAAACTACTGTTGTTGCGTGCAGGAGCAACAGCCTAAAATACCTGTGAGGGCCTAGGACCAGTAATTTCAGTACTAAGAGCAAAAAATCAAATTTCTTCAGTCTTCTATCAGCTCCTTTCAGCTCCTTACAGCTCCTGTAGACTATAATGTAGACATTATAGTCTGCAGCAGAGCAGACCAGCGCTGCACCAAAATAAAATTTCATCCTCCTCATCCCACAGTTGGTAGCTGTAGCTGGTTCTTGCTGCAGTGTGGTGAACCAAAACCAACCTTATCAGTTTCTTTTTTTTTAAGTCACTCTTTCATTCAGAAGAGTTCCCTACTCTGGTTCACCACACAAACATGGGAACAAGGGAGGTAAGGATAAAAGGGTGACAGTGGTTCTTCTTGCAGCAATGACAACTCTGGAAATGTGCTGAACTTGGTGACCTAGAACTTGTCAAAACGGCTGCTTAGCACACTCCCAGTCAAACACTTCTGTGAGGAATTACCTGCTAAGAACTTGTTGATAGAACAGTATAAGTGTCTGCAGAACACTGAATACACACACACACAGAGAACTTTAAATCGAAGAACACCTGTGCTAGTAAAAGTTCCACAACTTAAAAAAAAGGTATACTTAAACTAAATAGATGACTATGATTTTATTTACGGTTTAAACTTGGGTATAGTGTTTAGCCAAAAGCTATAGAGTCCGCTGAAATAGTTCCAGATAATTCCAATTTTCAAATTTTTGGGGACATGGCACAATCATTATACAAACATGTACCAAACAGTGGTTATTTAGCACATCATGTGGCTACTTTGACCGCACTTGAAATTCAAGATCCACCAGGCCATTAATTTCTAGAACAGATCTGAAAACAACTAGCGTTACATTATTAAGCAAGGGTAATGCTGGGAATGATGCTGTATAAACCACCTCCTCTATTTTAGCTCAGCAGCAAACGGGGACAGTCTGACAACGATAAGTCACAGCACAGAAACATCAAGACTGGAAGGGGCCTATGGGGAGCAGCTGGTCCCACCCTTCTGCTGAAAACAAGGCTGTAGATATAATTAATCAGGCCACGTTGAGCATTTTTTTCCCTTTTTTTCTTTTTCTCCTCCCAAGAGAAGGATGCTACATTTTTTTCAACCCTTTTATTATTGTTTTGGTGGCTCTAAAATGAAGCATAATGTTCCTAGTCTGGCACAAGAAACTCTTGACAGGAGTGGGATAATCCCATCCCCCGATCTCCTAACTATAGCTCTGCTGAGGCAGCCCAGGATGTGCTGCTCTAAGCCTGGTAAACGTTAAACCTGGTTTAACATATTAATTTTCACTTGTAATCCGGTCTGGTATTTTGGTCTGGGGATTAGCGAGGATCTCTGGTCACTCGCACCCTAAACACACATAAGTGAAATAACAAGTCTGAGAAGCATTGAGAAGTTTAAAGGGGATTTATTCCCCAAAGAATTGAAAGATGTTGAAAGCAAATGTTAAAAATAAATGAATAGAAAGTTGATGGAAGTTTACTGCACTCCTTTTACAATATGAAAAACAAAATGAAGAGGAAACACCCACCAACATTTTTTATTTTGGGTACTATTACCACCAGCACTCGGGTAACGGGCAGAACCCTTGGGCGGCTGGGCGGGCGCAGGCGGCCCGCGGGAGCTGCCCCGCTCCGCTCCGGCCCCGTCCGCGGTGGCGGCGCCGGCCGCAGCCCCTTGCCGCGCTCCGCACGCTCCCCGCCGCTACCTGCTGGTCTCCAGCGAGGAGTAGCGCTCGGGCAGCACCTGGAGGCAGCGCTGGAAGAAGCGCACGTGCCGCTCGCGCAGAAAGTCCAGCCGCTCCGCCTCCCCCGCCGCCGCCGCCGCCATCTTGCCGCCGCCGCGCCGGGCGCGCGTGCCGCGCGTCACCGCCAGGGCAGCGCGCCTGCGCGGGGCGGCGCCCGCCGCGTCATGGCGCCCGCGCGCGGCGGGAAGCGGCGCAACGGTCGCCAACGGCCGCCAACGCAGGCATGGGTGCGGCCGCGGCCCTGCGCTGCGCCGCGCGGCCCGCCTGGGACGTGGTGCCGAAGGAAAACGTGGTCCTGCGGATGGGATACGCGGAGCTCATCTATAACCCCTGTCTCCAGCTTGGGACAGCTCTGAAAATACAAATACCTCATGAAAATTAAAATCAAGGAGACAAAATAGGTGATGTGCATTCCTTGCTCCACCCCTCACCTGCGAGGAATATGCATAAGTGGTTCTGAACCCGCTGGCCCGATGTCTTTGGTGCGCTCCTCCCAGCCCTTGGTGGGTCTGTACAGCCTGGAGGGGTCTCTGGCTGCGTGGATTTCAACCTTGCAGTGAAACAAACAGAAAAAAAATCCATTCTTCAACCACAACGAACCAGCTAAACTAACTGCACCTTCATCATACAGGCAGATGCAAAACAACAACAAAACCTAAGATAAATGGGAAGGAGAACTCCACACTGACATAGAATATGCCAAAGCTTTTATTCAATGCAATATTATTAAGTTATTCTAGTGAATTAAGAAGTTAAACTCTGAGGCAGCATCCCTGAAACATTTCTGGGCACTAGCCCACTTAGTCCAGACTTGAAGTTTGCAAACCTTTTCTGGAATACCATTTGCAAGTTACCTTTAATAATTACTGCTCAGAGACAGGGAAATTCTCCAAGTCAGGTGTACACAGCTCAATAGTTGATCCTCTTTTTTTTTTTTTTTTTTTTTTTTTTTTTGACTTTGCTCTGCTCTGAAAGCTAATTACTTTCACTTGACTAAGGAGTCAATAACTGGAAAAAAGTTATAAAATTATGATATTAGAGTGCTACCTTTTCTTTTAACTTTGCCAATCTCTTTTCTTTTTCTTGTTTTTCCTCTTCTTTGGCTTGCTTTTCATGAATCTTTAGTTCAAGTTTACGTAGATCCTGAAAAAATATAATAATGAATCGCCAACTAATTTGGAAAAGACAAATTGTATCAGAACATGTACACAGACATTTCACAGAATTAGAATACACTCTTTGTAATTCTGCTGTGGAAGAGCAGAAGTTAGATGGCTACTTGCTATATTTTGTTCTCTGCAATTAAAAAAGTAAAAAAAAATATATATTCCAGTAAATAATGGAATTTTCCATTGTAAAAATAAAAGATAACAGAAATGCTGAAAATAACAGGTTTTACCATAATAAAATCAGTGAAATTCACAGAGAGCTAGAATCTAACTTGAACTTAACAACTGTAAGAACCTGCAACACCTTTAGTCTATTCTTATTAGAAATCCACAAACAGCAATCAGGTCTGTTAATGTTTTCTTTAGCATGGACAGTAATCTATCATTCAACCTTTGAATGTCAGGTAGGTGTTTTTCCCAAATTGTGTTCACATTCAAGCAGACAAAAACATCTCTATACTTAGAATGAAATATGGGTTTTGGTAAACTTGTAAAACTTAAGACATTGTGTGAAAGTCACATCTTCATCTAGAAGACACTTTCACACATTTTCTCAGGCATAGACAGAATTATTCATAGTGAATTTAAAACAGATTTAAATAAGTAAGACTAGGACATTCCTCATTTAAAAAGTAAATAAAACCAGTAAAACTGGATTTTAACTGCTATCTGTTATCAGATTATAAGAGGAAGTAGATAAATTTAAACACAAGTACATAAATGGAAAGACTCACCCGCTCTTGAAACTTAGGAATTTCTTCTGCAGCAATTTTCTTCCTTTCCTGTCTTTCAGCTTCCTCCTTTTTCTCTTTCTCAAGCTTTTCCAGTTCCTCCTTTTCTTTCTTTAACAAGGTATAACTTTCCAACAGTACCTTAACATGGCGTTGGCGCTGCCGTTCTCTCTGTTGCTTTTTCTCCTTCTCTTGCTGTAGTTTTAGTTGTGATGCTTGTTCCATCGCAACAGCCATTGCTTTCTCTTTTTTCCATGCTTCAATTGCTGCTTGTTGTCTTTTCCTTTCTTCTTCTGCTTTTTGCTTTTGAGCTTCTTCACGCTTTAAACACTCGTTCCTAAGTATTTGTTCTGATTTCTCTTTTTTCTTCAAGATTCCTTCTTTTTCTTCATGCTGCTTTTCTTTCCACTTCTTTATTGACTGTATGAAAACACCAGAGGGAAAAAAAAAAAAAAAGAAAAAAAAGAAGTAGGTCCCCATGAGTCTTACAAGGTAGCAGGTGAAAATGTATGCTGCAAGAATGTAAGTTGAAGATGGGAAATCACTGTCTAGTTAGGCAACTTCTTAAGACAAAACGGCACCTCTATCTATTTTCTTTTCCACATGGTAGGTTTAAAGTTTATTATCTAAGATTATTAAACCTTTATTAAAACCTTTATTAATTAGACCTTTATTATTACCTTAATAATACCTAATAATTACCTTAATACAGTCATGCATTTTGGTGTGAAATGCTTTTCTCCATGTAAACATATTCCAGGCTTTTTTCTTCAAGTTAACCATTGCATGTGTTATGTTCTTAAGAATTTGATGTTTATATCAGTGTATCTGTTATTACGCAGGACCATAAAACTGTCTCAAGAGTTCATAGTTCTACAAGTATCAATTCTCTAAGTCATTATGGGGCTGCTTAAAAGTATAGCAGGACATCCACAGTTTGGAGAAAGAGTATGCAAGTACTGCAGCATGCAGTGGGACTACCTACTGCTCAAAGTTTGGCAACTAATTTGTTGGAGAACTACTACTGAAAGCATTTGTAATATACTCCAGCCATACACAGGCCACTTCAGCAGGTTGCTAACCCCTCACTTATTGATCTCTGTTTACGAGAGAGATTTACTGGCAAGTTAAGGATGCTAAAGACTTCAGTCATATCACCAACTATTACAGAAATCCACATACCACTAACACCGGAGAGGCAAATACAAAAATAAGCCCAAGAAGAAGTACTTTAAATTACAAAAGCCCTTGAAGGTTACCTTACCTCCTTTTTTCTTTCCTGTAAAGCTAGAAATTCTCGATACCATTTATCATGCTGTTCGACATCTTCCTTTGTTCTTCCAGAGAGAAATTCAAGGGCTTCATCCATGTAGGATGCCCTTCCTTTGTGTTTTGTCCACACTTTCAGAAAATGTTGATGATCATAATCATCCCAGCCTCCTTGCCGTCCTCCTGTTCGCTGAAGAAATCTTTCAAATTCTACTACTTCTTCAGGAAGATGATTTTGCAGTGTTTTATCAACCGAGACCTTAGCTGATGGTAATCTCAAAACCTTTTCTGTTGTTGAGTTACCTAATGCCCACAGTTCCACCTTTTTCTCAAAGATACTGAGTTCATTAATGGCATTTTTTTCTTCCTTCAAAAGCTGTTCATACCTAAAAAGAGAACAAACACTGGAATATAACAAAAGTAATCCAGCATTAATTGTTCCCTGAAAATAAATTTTGGAACTGTTCAATTCCACACAAAAGCTATTCTTAAAAGATTATGAACAGAAATGGTGTAACATGACAGCAGTAGTTGCAGTGATCCTGTAATAAAGCCTTTTCCAATAGAATTATGTTACCTTTTTAATGGAAATGTACATTTATGGCACACAAACAACTAATTCAATCCCCTCCTCACAGTAGGAGGTGAAAAGAGAAAAACAAGAACAAACAAAATAAAACATCCCTTCCCAAAAGAATCATTCCAACAGCCTTTTCATAGACATATGATTGTTAGATTGAATCACTGTAACAGCTATGTAAACAACCTCTCATCAACTCTCTTTATCCAGATTCTAAAATTAAGTTTTCATTTATATTGCCAAATGAACCACTAGCAGAAGAGAAAAATAAGAGCAAAGCTTACATGATGCAGCATTAATGCAAAGTTTCTATTGTATAACTACTTTAATTAAAATACTTCAGCTGAAGCCTGTAGAAACATACATTTGTCTCTGTTCCTCTTTAAAAGTATTGATTGAATTTTCAACTTCTTCCATCATTTCCCTGAGTTTGTCAACAACTAAAAAAGAAGAAAAAAGAGCATAATGCATAAGTTTAAAATCTCTGCAAAATTATATAGAAAAAGACAAAATTCTGGGAAGCACGTCTCATAAATAAATAAATAAAACCCTGCATTTCCATCTTAAAAGTTTTTTAAAATGAAGACTCTGTTCTATTCAGAAGGTTCAAATTACAGTCATTTGGCTACCAGATATGCAAATTCACACTCTTTCCCCTTCCCCCTCCCCCCCCCCCCCAAAAAAAAAGTTTATTTCAGTTAAACAAGTGACTCATTCTGGGTAAGCTTTGAAGGGTTATCACATTTGTTTTTATGCAACAATACAGTGACTTAGGAAGCCTATTCCATTCTTTGGCTTACACCAAGTTGTATCCAAATAATTTAACCTACAACTCCTTAGTTTCAATGAAACTGTGCCTACAACAAAACATCCAGGTTAGATTCTGTATACAGTTCTGTAAGCATTCTTCAGTTCCAGTTTTGTAAAATCTAGTAAAACAACCGTCTGGAGAAGGCCTATTTTGCAACTTTATGGAACAGGTTTAGAATCTGAATGGTTTAAGTAAGTACAGTTGAACTAACTTGGCTTTAAAACAAAAGCAAACAAACCTAACCTAAAAACAAAATCTAAATTGATACCACTGTGTCATCCAAAACTGTTAATTCAGTTTTCAGGTGCTGTTACTTCTTGGTATCTTATTAACACTTTAAGAAAGAAGACAATGTGCTTTTTTATAGTATAGGTACTGTATAAATGGAATTAGATGTGTTGTATGCCAGCTGTAAAGCTGTCAGCTGGTAGAACTTCACTGTTAGCTCCACGCACAGCAGAGCACTGAAGAGAATGATTCCTTCAGTGTTCCCTTCCTGAGAGTTTCCAGGTATCTAACTGAACAAGCCGTTTAAGGATTTTCCACAGCATCCTTCAACCTGCACTTCAAACCATCTAGATGACTAGAAGTTAATTCCCTCTAGACCCTTCTTTATGACATATTATCAAATGACAAGGGGAGTACATCTATTATGCATTAAAATATTAGCTTTAGCTTCCACAGGAGAAAGACTGACATTTAGAAAATACCTGACGCCCAACAGCCTCAAGAAACAAACCCACAGCAGCTCCAACACAGAATAAGCTGCTCTACTTTCACAGCAAAGTAAAAGAGCCTTTATTATTTCTTATATTCCTCCCTTCTCATGTCCCTCTCCTCAGATACCTAGAAAAGCAGGCTGAGTGGATAGGCACAATCCTCTGTGTACAGGAGAAACAAAAGCACAGTTATCCGAGAAAATTATCTTTAAAGAAAAAGTGGTCTTAAATCTGCCAACAAGACTTACATTCTGGAGTAGGCTTCACATCTTTTAATTGTTGCTGAAGTCTCTTGACATTATTGTGTATTTTCAATAGCTTCTGTAGGATTTTAGTTTCTGTTAAAAAAAAATAAGATGCTAGCTGGTGGTTCTAAACATTCCTTTGTGCATTAAATTCAATAAAAGAACAATAACAATCAAGTGCCCAAAATATATTGGGGATTTCATCTAAACTAGGTTACAGATTACTGTAATAACTCAGACTTCTAAAGAGGACAAAAGGAGAGATCATATTTAAGTTATTTTATTTTTTCAGACCTTTTGCCGAGGTAACTGGAGTTTGGGGAGCAGTATGGCTTATGTAGAAGGCCCTGTCTCTAGAATTCAGACTCTGACTCAGCCTTCAAAACATTCAACAATGGAGAGAAAACATGTGGTAAACACATATGAATTTACTGTTTCAACTACATTTACAGATTCTGTTCACTGAAGCTGAATCTATGTTTTCTGGAATTCAAGGAACTGCATGCACTTGTTTGCTTTGTCACCACTTGCGTCTTCCAGAGTCTTTAATAAAGTAACGGAGTCCTGGATATACCTACACTACAGATGAGTCTAGGAACTCTAGACTCATCAAACAATCCAGAAAGGACTGTTTTCAAGGCATGGGCAATAGAGAGCATAGAGCTAAATATGGCAGAGTGCAGCTACAACTACTGACCTTACCAGTTCCTGCTGAGACCATAGAAACATTAAACATATATAAAGCACATGCAAAGGCTTGAACTTAACAGCATAGTAAGCAACAGTTTTGGAGGTTCCAGTGCACACGCAAAGATCTCACTCTAACACTCTTTCATATCTTGCATCTAGTGACTTCTTGTCTGTCACTTCATAACCATGCCTATCCCTACTTTCATATTCCTATCATTTGTCTGGAATGCCTGTGAAGTTTTCTGAGCTTCTTAGCTCAGTAATCTTTTGGAAATATTTACACATCATAAGGCTTGTAGGATGCAGAAAATATGATAGGTACACTCAATTCAAAAAAAAAAAAAGAATGAAAGAGAAGCACAAACATGTTTTATGTACATGCTTTAACACATACAAATTTGTACAAATTTGTAGGGTATGTGTATTTTTAGCTGTTTCTACAGGACTTATTCTTCAACTAACTTTGTTTTCTGTATCAGAAGGCAAAGCATGATTTATTTGAATGCGCTTGGAAAAAAATATGGGACTCAGGAGTCATTTTTTTTTTCCTTCCTCTTATGGATTTAATTAGTCTTGAAGTGCAATAGATACTATAGGAGACTATGCATACAACTTAAAGTACCATTTAAGTATGAATGCCCATTTTCCAAGCAGTTGAGAAAACATAACTACAGAAGCTCAATGCTTAAAAACTTATCTATATTCAACAATAAGCGTAGGGAAAACTTATTTTGTGAAAAGGCCATATTTTTTGTATATAGGCTGCACTACATTAGATTTTAATACACACATGACACTATTTCTCAGTTTCCAGAACAGTAGCTTTCCACTATCGTTTTTGAAAACGTGGTGTCTGCCACTTTCAACACTAAAAGAGAAAAGTTAACAACACAGAAGGCCCAAGATATTTATCTCTCTTAATTTTGAAAGTGAATCACCTTTAGAAGCAATGTCTGTACTGCAATTCCACACTTTTATCAAAATTTACCTCCTACCTGTACTAATCCCTCTCTATACTACATTAATAAACCAGATAAGCAAACAACTGGAGAGAGAAAAATTACACAATAAAAAACACTTACTCTCAGTTTTCCTATTGACAGTCATTTTGTGTTCCAGTTCTTCTAGTAGGCTGTATTCTACCCTGAAATCACTCTTCTTGCTATAAAGATGTCCATTTTTGTCTTTTTCTATAGTGGCAAGCCTACAAAAAAAGTTGAAATACTGAGAAAGACACGAACACTCAGCAAAGGCCATGTGTTTCTCGAGATTAGCTTCATGCAAAGCTGTGTCATCAGGGCTCTCTTAAATTCTCTACAAGTCATTGTGTTTGTTACCACAGTTGTTTCCAAAGAAAGTCTGTATGCAGTTAGAAGACCAAGGTATCACAAGCACCTTGAACAAGAGAAAGACATTAATTAACAAGTTATCTTCCTAAAAGGCAGCGGTAAACAAACTAAAACAGCCTGAAATCTTATCTATATACTTACCATCTGAGAACCTTACTAGAATTTTCGCTAGAAAGCACAGCAAAGGAGACTGGCTGCATTAATGCAGTTGTACACATAGATGGAGCCCGAGCACAGACCAAGCATGGACAGCAGTACACTCTTAGTGCTACTTCATCAGAAGAGTCAAATGATAGTTTGCTAGCATTAATTTTAACCATCGCAACTGCTATCTTTGCTACTGGCAATCCCATATGTATAATTCAACGATCTACAGGTGAGTTCTGCTTCTTTAAATGGGTCTGAAGCTTTAAAATTTGTCTTGGGATATGATTTCCTTTGCCTTGCACAAGGAAAGTTGCTAGGAGTTAGTTTACAGAAAAGCAGGTGGAAAGGGGTTTGTGCACACGCCTATAACCCAGGGCTATCCTGTTGGAGACCATGGCAGTAGGATGCTGGTGCCTCATGGTACAGGAAAATTAGGCACCATTCCCGGTGTTAAGCAGCATTGCTGACAACCTAAGAAAGCCTTCGCAGCAACAGCTTTGTTGTACAGCAGACAGTTCCTACTTCAGTGTGCAAACCACTACATGATGCAGAGATGCCTTTGAAAGTTAGGTGTGTTGCTCTCCCTTGGAATTTCCAGCTCAGAACTGAGTAAGGAATCTCCTCATCCATATGCCTCAAGCCTTAAGTGCACACAGTAATAAATGGTCTATGGCTAAACTGCTACCTGTAGCCTGGATTAAAGCTACTTAGGATTCTCTACATGACCCAGCAGCCACATTTGAGCCATTACCTGGGCTCCACAATAACCAAGTAGGAGCTGATTGAGTCAGACATCTAAAATGCTGCTGGGAGAGTTACACAACCCAGGTCATCCAGAATTCATAACTACAAACCTCCCTTGGCCCTGGTGGCTAAGTCATCTCTTTCTTGTCTGTGTGAGAAGAAACTCCTCTGCTCCTTGAATCAGTAGCTTCATCATTACAGCACTTGTTCAACACGTAGGGAAACACAATCAAATCATTTCTGTGCCTGAGTTGACTTGAACTCCCATTAACCTCGATATTCTATTTGAAATGCTCCCAGTTTCTCTTTGTTGATCTAAGTCTTAAACCCTTAAGATACTTAGAAAGATCTAAGTATCTCAGCATCTAAGCACAGCTGAGTCGGAAAATTGAAAGCTCAATTATGCCACAAGAACCTTCACTTTTGTGCATGCACTTGAGCAATAGCAAAGAGTAACTACCCAGCTAACAATGTTGGTGGTTTGAACTGACTGTTCTGAAACTTGCAAGCCCGTTCTGAACTAGTATCATGACCACAACAATCCATCTGGACAACAGAACATTTGACATAGCCTAAACATTTCATTACTATCAATTCTTGCCATTAACCTTGAGTTATCTCTAGAACAGCATGAGAAACAAACTTATAAGGAAGTGTTCCAACTTACTGGGTTTTTAGTTTTTCTGATGTTCTTATAAATTCAGCCTTCTTAGCTTGTTCCGCTTTCATCTTCCAGTTCTGAGATTGCTGACCAGCACATGCAGCACCAAAACAGCTCTCATTCTGTACATAATGAAGTAAAATATCATTAAAAAAAAATCAATCTTGGGCTTTTAAACATTCATGGGTTATTTTTAAGCTGTCCATAATACTGTGCAGACATAACTAATAAAAGCGTCACTTTGGGTGTAGTGACATAATTTAAATATTATCATCACGCATATATCACGCATATAACATCATACAAGCCCGAATGCCCCATCTTTTACAGCAGTTAGTACTTCAGGATTAAAAGGAAACCAAGCTCCCGGCCATAATTTACACTAGGCTGATTATTTCATCACATTCAGGGAAAGGAGCAGCATATCTCCCGAAACCCTGGGGTGTGAGGCTTAAAGACCCTTGCACATTATCAATGTTGTTATGTGCAGTGTCTCTGGACATTCCCGCTGCGATAACCGCAGGGCCAGTAATGCACGCGGGCTGCAGAGCAGCACACGCCGTCCCGAAGCCTTGGCAGAGCAGCACTGCCCGCGCCTCCGCACGGGTTTATCCTTCACTCCCTGCCCGGGAACCTGCGGCAGGATGAATGGACTTGTCCTTCACTCCCTGCGCGGGAGCTTCGCCGGCCGCCGCGGCTCGCCACGGCCACGGGCGCTCTGGCCGCCGAGCTGCCGGGAGCGGCCGGGAGCACCGGGAGCGGCCGGCTCCGCCTGCGCCCCAGCCCGGGCCGTTACCTGTTGCTGCCCGGCGGCCGCCGCAGCAACGGCCGTTGCCAGGGCCGCCATGTTGGCCGCCGCCAACGGTCCCGCCCCGCCCCGCTCTGCTCCGCTCCGCTCCCTGCGCCGCCCGCCGCCGCCCGCCCCACACGGGCAAAAGGCGTTTTCTGCTCCCCCAACGGCGTTTTCTGCCACCCTAAAGGCGTTTTCTGCCCCCTCGCAGGGTGCTGCGCTCCAGGCAGTCTCCTGTTGGCGCCTCGGTCGCCCTGAACACACGTGTTTTAAGCCTCCCGTGGCAGTCTCCTGCCTGGAAGCATCTAACCGTTGCATGCCTGCCTCTGCCTCCGTGGCAGTTATTAATGTACAGGCAGGACTGAGCGCTCAGCGAAAAGACCCCAGCTCATAGGAACAGAACTTGTCTCAGAAGCCGCTGGCTCTGCACAGTGCCAGAATGGGTCGCCTTTGCAGAGGGAATACGTTGCCAGCAATTTGTAGAAAGCTGTATAACCTCATGGAGGGTGAGCCTGCAATTGGGGTCCTGAAATCCTGCATTTTCCAGAGAGACTGAGGTGGATGTGCACCGGGTCCTCATGGGGTTCTCCAAAGCAGATGGTGACAGCATTGGACTTCTCTGAACAACCCTGTGCAACTGGATGGGAAAGGTGCACTGCAGAGTGCCCAAAATGTTGAGAGTCCTGGAGACATTTACTCCATCCTCATCATTAAGTCCATCCTCATTAAGCCCACCTCAGGGTGATGGACTTAAGACAGTGAGCTAGGCAGCCCCCTATTTAACTATATAATATTTAATGTTCCCAGGGCTTGTGTGAAGACCCAAAGCCACGGATACAGCCACAGTCTGATGTCCCATCACAGCAACTTGCTCAACACCCAGAGGCCAAGGCTGCCTTAAGCTATAGCTTAGTTAGAAATGTGGTATATGAAGAATGACAAAATGTGTGAACGATGCTTACTGTAGGCAGTGCTTTATCCCACTGCTTTATCCCAGTGCTTTATCCCCCAGTTGTCTGTGAGGAACCACATACTGTTGTAATTTGCCGGTGACTAACTGGCCATCTTGGGTATATGACTAAACTGTTTTTTGGTTTTATTTTTTTTTTTCCTCTCTCTCAACTCATGGGACATGTTTGCTATCAGCTACACTTCTGTTTATGTCTGAATTTGAGGGTTTGTACTGATTACTTCCTTCAAGACGACCACAGTATGTTCTTACTACCCTGATAAAAGAATAGCTTCACATTTTTTCAGTACATTTTTGGAATTCTCAAGATCTTGTTTTTCACACACATACACCAATCAAACTTTTAATGAGTTGCCAATTAACATTTCTGCAGAATAGAAATAATCTATTCATTTAGAGGCTTTGCTAGCTAAAGAGATTTCAAGAACTGGTGTTTTCCCAGCTGCAAAACACAAAAACATTCACAGATGCTAACCAAATGGCCTATGCTGAAGACATTTTATTGCCTAATTGATGTTTTTAAGAGCACTTTCCTGCTATATTTTTCCTTTTTATTTTTTATGACTGCACTTACATTTGATTTCTTTGTATTTGCTGAATAGAAATTAACAAGCAAAGGAGAATGTTTCAAAACCTGAAAACAGTCATCAGCATAAATTAAGGAAGATTGTTCTCACAGATTGCTACCTGCAGTGGCTTGAAGAAGTATTTTTTTCGCAGCAATGTTTCCTAGTCCTCTTGATCTTTGTCCTGCACAACTCAGATGTAAGAGAAGTGTATCCTCTAGAACTTTTTTTTTTTTGTATTTGCTTTTTCTTTGGTGAATATCAGCCCTTTAGAAGTTTCTGTTACTATGATAAGCAAGCTTGTAATTGCTCAAGGACTGTGCTACACTAAGCATTAGTTTTCGCAAGCAGTTCAGTCAAGGTGGCTTCAGTCATAACCTAGTTCAGATACTGTTTGTCCAGAAGTCCACCACTTTCTGGGTGGTGAGTTCTCACATTATTGTTTGCCACAGTTATTAGCTGTGAGTTGCTCAGAACAGTGTCAGAGATGCCCTAGAAATCATGTCCAGGGGGATTTCAGGTGTCCGAGCTTGGCTAGCTCTGTGCCTGAGCCCTGGCAGACCAGGCATCAAGCTGTGAAGCTGAGCCCTGCTTTGCACTGAGCTGGGACCTCACGTCACTGCTCTGTGCGGCACGACTCATCCAAGCCAGAGCACCCCACAACACTTGGTGACCTCTGGTGCTGCCTGTAAACTGATCACCTAGAGCCAGAGGAAACAGTCAAGGAACTGCATCCTGCCCGCTTCCGCTTTCCTGATTTCTTAGCTCTGTCTGGGGATGGAAACGCTCCAGCATGTCCCTCAGTTCTGTAACAGATTTACCTGAGCAAGCACTTCAAGGTTTTGCCTTCAATATAATAAAGATGTATTTTCTGAGAAGATAAGAACTAGTTTTATTTTCTGCCCTTCATTTCCTTTAGCAGGAATAAAATGGGAAGGAATGCTACAATTTCACTGTTTTTTGCAACCGTGAGTTGCAGGATTGCAGGGCCTGAGGTGGAGAAGAGTATTTGCCTGGGGGAAGATACTTAGGCCGAAATGTTCAGATGTGGGGTGCTTCTGTTTTATTGCTTCCAGCGTGAGATATCGTGCCTGCTATTTCAAGAGTGATTAAGTATTTGTTTCTCCTGCTTAAATCTGGAACAGCTGCTTGTGTTCAGCAGTTAAAATGAACTTTTGGCTGCCTTAAATATGCAAGAGGGATCAGCTCTGGGCATGGCAACCGTGAGATTCAAGGAATCCAAAGCAAGCTGGGCACTCTGTCTCCTCCTCCAGGTCTTAGCTGTGCACAGCTCAGATGGATAGCACGATCTAGTAAGGGATGCTAAGAAAAATCAGGAACTGGTCATGAGGGACAAGTAAAACGAGGTAAAAGTCCACTAGGAAAGAAATGGAACATGGAACTACTTTAAAGGTGGATAGTCTTCCTAGTAAATACATAGCAGTCATCAGTACTGAAAAACATAGCTCCCTATGAGCAGGTAGTGCATTATGTGCAGCCCAGGACAAGACTCACGACATTAGGAGCCTGTTTGGTT